GGGACATCTGTAATACTTTCAACAATAAAGATAAATTTTTTTAAAAAGGAATAAAATACTGATACATGTGATGATATACTGATCAACATTGATGAATCTTAAAAACATTATGCTAAGTGAAAGAAGCCAGTCACAAAAACCCACATAAGTGTATGATTACATTTACATGGAATGTCCAGAATAGGCAAATTCACAGAGACAGAAAGTAGATTGATGGTGGTCAGTGCCTGGGGGAGGAAGAGGTGAAAAGGGGAGAGACTAATGGCTATGGGGTTTCTTTACGGGGTGACTGAAAACATTCTAAAATTAGATAGTGGTAATGGTCACACAACTCCGTGACTTACTAAAAAGACATTTTATATACACTTTAAAAGGGCGAATCTTGCCCAGCCGGCGTGGCTCAGCGGTTGAGCATCAACCTATGATCCAGGAGATCACGGTTCGAATCCCGGTCAGGGCACAAGCCCAGGTTGCAGGCTCGATCCCCGGTTGGGGGTGTGCAGAAGGCAGCCAATCAATGACACTCTCATCACTGATGTTTCTATCCCTCTCCCTTCCTCTCTCAGAAATCAACAGATATATTTAAAAAAATAAAATAAAAAGGTGAATCTTTTGGCATGTTAATTATATCTCAAGAACGTTGATATAAAAAACTAAATGACATTCAAAATTCAGTTCCTCGGTCATCCTAGCCACATTTCAAATACTCAATAGCCACATGTGGCTAAACAGCGGCTACCAAAACAGTGTAATATAGATAATTTCCAACATTACAGAACATTTGACTGGACAGTGTTGTATCAATGAATGAATAAAAGACCTCCTTTGCCATCTAACCACAGTCCCCTTTTCAAGTCTCAATACTTTCACACTCCTCACACCCACATATGAAGCTTCAACCACAGACTAAGTACATCCTTCAAATGCACCTCCATTTCACTTTCATCTGGAATGCGCTTTACCCCTTCCTGGCCCATAAATAATTCTACTTATCCTTATCAACCTTTAGAGCCCTTCCAAATAAATGCCTCTTCCCTAAGTCCCCACCTTCCCCTGGCCCTAGCAGAACCAGTTGCTTCCACTGGCCTTTGTTTGTACTTGCATTACAACATTGATCCCTCTGGATTACAAATCATTGTGTGTGTTCTCTGTCTTTCCCACAAGATCACCAGCTCCTTGAGGACAGGGATTCTGTTACTCATTTGAGGGTTCCCCAATGCCTAACGATAATAATAGCCTGCTGCAAAGAGTAGACATTTCAGTAAATGTTTGCTGAATTCTACTTAAAGGATTTACAGAAACTCAAGGTATTGATTTTCAACAATTGCTCACTTTGGTGTGTAAAACAGACTAAGAAAATGAGGGAAAGAGGATTCTAATCTGGAAGTCTTTTAGCCCACTATTCTACAAGGAATGTTGGTGATTGCACTGAAATGCCATTTTTAAAAAAGAGGGGCTTCTGGACTGAAAACTGGGGCAATGGAGGTGAGTAAAGAAGGGGATTAGGGGGCCAATGGTATACTATTGAGAGATGGGAAAAAACAGCAGGAACGAGAATCTCCATCCAATTCAAAGTTTTAAGCATGACAGAGGAAAAGTAATGACTGCATCTCTAGAGATTTGTGCCCAGGCCATTGGTTGAGTCACTTCATGGAAAAAGACTTTTTTACTAAATCTTTATTTTAGATAATATAGTCAGACTTTTCTGGTTAAGCCTAACCAAAAATAGAAAAAAGAATCTCTATGTATCTCAATTATAATTTAACTGGAAGAGACAAATGCCAAGGCCTTACTATTTAGAGACCTTACTGCTTTTTTCTTCTTTATGGATTCAAACACTCATAACCGAGTTGCAGCGACCTATAGGAGAGTTAAGCCTAAGTTCCTAATCATAGCAGTGAGCTAAACTAATGAACTTTCCTGAGCCAGGATGGCAAGAAATAGCTGTTCCAGGGCAGAGTTATTAAGAGGGAAAGCAAGCCACCTAATATCATGTATTTCTGATATTAAATGCATATGAAAAAAAGGTTGTATTTGACAGAGGAATTTCAAGGGGGGAAATACAATGAGGTACCCATACCATTTCAACAAGGAATGAGTACAGAGAGTTCTCTTCAATTCAGAGTTAGCTGGAAGTCACTTGTTGAAATAAGGACAGTGAGTACCTGAAGTCGGTCCTATGCCAAAATGGTCTCTGAATTTTTTTTTCATTACTGATTTCTACAAGCCAAAAATCAACAACAAAAAAACAAACCAAAAATCAAATTGGCTAAACTGCGGTGGATTCAGAGTTAATAATTATATAATAGCTTCCATTCCAAAGGTTAAAATTCAAAACACAAATCTCACTACAGATATATAGTATTCTCTGACAGAAAGAGACAGGGGTATTAGGTAGGGGTGGGAATGTATGGGGGGAGGGGTCAGGAAGAGGGAGGCTACTCATTACAAAAACCTTCCCTTCTCTGCATGAGCTGTAACCACATAATAGCTGCTAGTGAGTGCATCCATCCAAATAGAACAAAGTACAAAAGCCACTCTATCCCCCAAAATAAGTATTGGAAGTTTCAGGGAAATGATAAGAAAATGGCCTGTGCTCAACAAACTGCAATTAGGGCATGACACTGAAGACCCCCTCCCACATTTTCTAGCCACCTCCCAAGGCTTGCATGACATGTAAGGAACCTCCACTTGCCGTCCCTTCTCCTGCTAAAGAAATGGATGTGTCCCACCATTGACTAGGAGGTCCACCACTCCTCTCCAACAGGGTAAAGCAGTCCACAGGCCCTGGGCGCCCACCTCCAAAGGCTCCAACATTCCTAAACCAACCCTCTAGCAATGTTATTTATTGGTAATGGGGAACAGCCTTTAGAGATACAGAAATAGATGCAAAGGAAAAGCAACAGTTTGTTCTATGTTTTGTTCTGTCAGCATTTATACTTACTTTTACCAGTCCAAAGGGTTATAACTTTTCTAATAGACAAAATAATAATAATTTCTCCTGCTAGTTTGACTTTAACTGGGAAAATAAAGAACCCCAACAAAGCCTAAAACGGAAGAATTCACACCTAGAAAAGGGAATATACTGGCCCAGAAAATGAGCTCTATTACTTTCACATGTTATTTCTAATATAAATATATTCTGGGGGGGAAACAGGACACTTCAACAGATAAATGAATAAACAAATTGTGGTAGAGCCATACCGTGGAGCATCATTCAGCCATAAAAAAGAAATACTGGTACAGGCTACAAGATGGATGAACCTCAAACATTACGCTAAACATTAGCATAAAGCAAAAACATTATGCTAAGGGAGAGAAGCCAGACACAAAGGTCATTGCAGAATTCCATTTATATGAAATATTATGAAAAGGTAAATTCATAGAGACAGAAAGCAGACTGGCGGTTGCAAGGGGCTGGGGGAAGGGGGAAACAGGGAGGAATTGCTTAATGGGTTGGGGGTTTTACTTTGTAGTGATGAAAATCTTCGAAACTAGATAGAGGTGGTGGTTACACATTGTGAATATACTAAATGCCACTGAATTTTTCACTTTAAAATGGTTAAATGGTTTTAAATAGTTTGTTACGCGAATTCCATCTCATTTCAATTTTAAAATAAAGGATACTAATGGACAAAACAAAGATGCATCCAGTATGTGAACAGGCAGCCCATGACTTCCTAGGGAAAAGATAAGTATTTTTGCTGGGACTCTTCTACTCTTGATTACCACGCAAAGTTCAAGTGCTAAGCTGTATAGACTCTGCCACCGTGTGTGTATCTTTCTGAAAAGACAGGGAAGGGAACAGATAGTGAAGAAAATAGAATGGGAAAGCCTTGCCAAATGCAAGGGAAGGAGGGGTGATTACCCCTAGTACACCCCACCCAACTTGGCACCAGGAGTACCACTCCCATCAAGGTTTCGAAATGCCAGCCAGAGCTGGAATCAACACAAGCCAGCTTCTCTGCATGGATAAAAAGCAAGCCACCCAGCAAGAAAAGCTGGGGTGCTCCATTTGCTGCCCGTATTGGCATCAGCACCACCGTTTGCTCAAAAACCTTAGGCTGTCCCAGATCAGCGTCAGCGACTGGCTCTCCCAGGCGGGCCAGCCTAACAGTTTTTAAAAGCTTATTAGAACTCAAGTGTGGCCTCCTCCTGAGGGGTCCAGCTCTACTTCATCTCACCTGCCTTCCAAGAGTCCTTCCTCCAACCACTTAACTCAAACACTATTAAAAATGGTGTCCTCAGAACTTGGCCCAGTCCGGCCTGAAATAAATATCCTCTTCGCCCCTCCTCCCTCTCAGGCTAGCTCAGCAGCTCACGTACCCTGACCCGCACACGCGGCACCGCTGCCTTGGAGACTTGGTCCACGGGGAACACGAACGCGCCCCACATGCCCCAGCCTGGCACCACTTTCCAGTCACAGTCACCCCAGCCCACCTGACCTAACTGCCGTCTCAAAGGCCCGCACTCGCTTGGCACCATGCCTCTGCCAACCTCCCTGAAACCAAAACAGGTGTCCCTCAGCTAAACACCGACGCCCCCTTAGATCCTGCCCACGCCAGGCCTGAGGGACCCTCTCGGGACCCCTCAACTCTTGGCAACAACACTCCCTCAGCCCCCTCCAGCTAGCAGCGAGGTCGTCTCCAGCCCCCTCCTGCCAGGCCTCGACGACTCCCAGGCCCACAGCCTGGCCCGGACGCCCCCTCCCCCTTACCTGCGGGGGTTCGGCCCCGGCTGACAGGGGGCTGGGCAGCGCCTGGAGGAGCAGGAGCGCCATGCCACTCAGGAGCCTTCTCCTCTCCATCCCCCTCCTGCTCCTGCTCCTCCGCCACGGCGCCGCCACCACCCTCCTCCTCCTCCCTCTCCTCCTCTTTCCTCTTCTTCCTTCTTCCCTTCTTTTCCTGTTTCACTCTCCCCCTCCGCTTCCGGCTCTGCTCCACCCAGCCAAAACACCCTCCCAAACACCGGGGAGGTTCTCCAGTCCCAGCGCTTCATTGGCCTCTGCCCTTCGCCCATTGGTCTAAATGGCTGTCGATCAAATCGAAGTTCCGCCCTCCCCTGAAGTTCCATCCCATGAAGACGGAAAACCAGAAGGATACAGCCAATTAAAAGTAGGAGGAAGCTGGGCCATCTTGAGCGCCGCGAGCCGGTGTAAAGGCGGCGAGTGGAAGAAGTACCTTGGATCGGGGGACGGGCCACCTTAAACGTGTGGTATAGAAAAGTCCAGCTAGAATACAGCCGTGGCGGAAGTACTAGATTTCCACAGTTTAGCAAAGAAAGGATGAGTTTGATGATTCTAAGCGGTGTTGGCAAATGTTATTTTTTAGAGAAGGTAACCGGGAGCTCCTAAAGAATTAAACAACTGCAATCTAAAAATCTTTTGATATCATGTCTTGAAGCGCAGCCCCAGTACCAGGGTCCCTCTACTGGTCTCCAATTGCCCAAGCAGTAGCTTAGGTCAACTTGAATTCCCTATGAGACAGTATCTTTACCTGAGGCACAGTGCTTTGTCACCAAAAGTTTCTGGGACAAAATGGACAAAATTCTGACCCTACTTCAAAAATAGCTCTGAAATCTACCCCAAATGCTTTAATCCATGTTCTCATCTTCTGCCTAAATACAAATAGTCTCCTTTCACACACCACAAGGGTGCTCTACCACAAAAAAAAACATATCCACAAATACAACTCCAAACATTGTCTTACGGCTTTCGCTCTTAAAATACTTCAACTACCTATAGGATATATAGTCTGGACTTTTCACTGTGGTTCCTGCATACTTATCTCACCTGCCACCCACACATTTTTTCACACATTCTGCTCACACTGGACACTAAAGAGATCTTCAAGGTGCTGTGCTATGTAGTACACGTAACTTCATTTCCACATTACACATATAAACTCCTAGTTCCCACCCCCTTGTTTCTTCTTCTGGATTCACATAACACTTCCCCGCTAGTGTATCTAATCTGTATCTGCCTGGCTGACCACTCCTACTAAATTTGCAGCTTTTTATTTGGCACACCAGGCCTTATTCATTTCCTAAGAAATCCCTACAACATCCTGTACAGGACCCAACTATGAATGTAATCGATGATAGTAAAATGAAATGAAGGCCCATGACAGAGAAGCCAGCTGTCTGCAGCTGCCAATTTCCTCTCCAAAACCTGCCAAAGCATTATACAGTCTGGCCCAGGGCTAAGCCCACAGGGAGTTTGTTCTTGGCTTAAATGGTGGCAAAGAGGGAAACAGGTAAGAGTGAAGAAAACCCGTTTCGCTTGAGCATAAGAAATGTCCTTAGTTCTGTCTCTACCTTGATCCTGCTTTCCCAAGTGCTGCAAAAGGTGACAAGCATTTTGGGCAACCTCAAGTTTCTTAGAAATTCATCCACTCCATAATCAAGCTCCCTAGGAGATAAGTAAAGATTGGCCTCTGAGCTGTAGCCACTAGATACTCCAGACATTTCCAAAGAGTAATTGTCTATGACGAGAGGAGGAATGCCAGGAGGCTTAAGGAACTGGGAAAGAAAGGGAAAGATTGTTGATTTTTGAAAGAACATCAGTGTCAAACTGCTTCTGAGCTCTGTAAGGTTTTTCCTATTTGTCTTTGGAAATGGGCAAAGCTGAAGCCAAATCTCTTATCCTAAGAAAACTAGCTCAAAGACACACTTTTCTACTCAAACATCAGCTAAAATCGAATTGCACATTATAGCATGTATGAACTTCCAAAACATTATGCTAAGTGAAAGATGCCAGATGCAGAAGGCTACATACTATGTGATTCCATTTATATGAAATGTCTGGAATAGACAAAGCTATAGAGACCGAAAGTAGATTAGGGATTGTGAAGGACAGGGGCTGGGGGTGGGGGGAGTGACTGATAATTTGCAGTTTCTTTTGGGGGTAATGAAAAAGTTCTGGAATTAGATAGCGATGCGATGATTATACAACTTTCTTGAGTATACTGCAAACTACTAAATTGTACACTTTAAAAGCAGTGGTCCTTTAAGTGTGGTACGTAGAATCATCATTGGAAAATTCCCAGAAATATAAATTCTCAGGCTCTACCCCAGTCCCATATAATTAGAAATTCTGGGGAGGAGGCCATACAATGTGTTTTAACAAGCCCTCCAGGTAATCCTGATACATATTTTTTTAAAGCTATTACTCCAGAGTAGAGAAAACTTTTTGCATAAAGGACCAGAGAGTAAATATTTTAGGTTCTGCATGCTACATACATTGGGTCTCTGTCACATACTCTTTGGTTTTTTCCTTTTTACAACTCTTTAAAAATGTAAAAACCATTCTTGGTTCCCAGGCACATAAAAACAGGTAGCAGGCAGATTTGGGCCCTTGAGCCATGGTTTGCCAACTCCTGCTCCGGAGCAACACAGCTCCCATTCTGGGAGACCTCTGCAGCTTCCAGCACAGGTGGATTTTTCTCTAGTAATAGGGAAATGAACAATGGCCTCCAGGCTTCAAACAGGTAGGTTCCCCTTCAAGTTGTGATACCCTCCCTCCATGCCAAGCCAAAGTAAGTCCAGATCCTGCTTTCCATCCAGGTGTTATTAACTCAATCTGCAGACAGTTCATTGTGCTTTTAAGAAATTTATTCAAGTCACAGTGGTATCCTTTAGACAGTCAGTAAATTTTACTAGACAAAACTCATACAGACATTGACCCTGGTTGTGCCACAACAGTCCCCCAGGGAGCTTGAGAAATCACCTACAACCACCAAGTTGGAAAAGGCAAGTGGCTGTGCTTTGCTGTATGTCCTTTAAGGCTCTTTGGTCCTGGCTGATTTTTTTTTTTTTAATATATCTTTACTGATTTCAGAGAGAGGAAAGGAGAGGGGGAGAGAGAGAGGGAACCGTCAATGATGAGAGAGTCATTGATTGACTGCCTCCTGCACACCCCCCGCTGGGGATCGAGCCAGCAACCCGGGCATGTGCCCTGACCGGGAATCGAACCCCAATCGCCTGGATCCTAGGTCGACGCTCAACCGCTGAGCCATGCCCGGCTGGGCCTGGCTGATTTTCTTGTACAGGCGTCCAAATAAAACTTTCCTTTTCTAGTCAGTACACATTAGTCTTTCTTTGGTGTTTAATCCAATGGGCTGAGGAAGGGCAGTAGCCAGGAAATTATACCCATTACAATGTGTGGTTAATACTTACATACATTCTTTTTACTCAACAGTTAATGGAATTATCTTTTAAACAGAAGTAAAATCAGACATGCTTTTAGAACAGAAGTGTCAATAGATAGGGCTTGAAGCACCATGGAACTCTGCTGCCTCACACAATGACCTTTTTTTAGCACTGAGAAATCCCAGGTGCCTGAAAAGTGCAAGGTTAGCAGCACTCCCAAGAACCTTTCTGAGGCGCAATGAGAATGGGAAGAATGGAGATGAGCCCCAGGGTGACACGGACTAGCCCCCTCTCACACTCACACACACACTTCCTGCGTTAGCTAGAACTCCATGGGGAAAGAAAGGTTCCATAGCTTGAGGGAGGATGATGCAGAAGGGAAGAGGAAAGAGTAGGAGCTTCTTGTCCCAAGGGCTCTCTCCCATTCCTGGCTGTAACCAGGACCCCAATTTCCCTAAATTTTCCAATTGGTTTGCTAAGTGTCTTCCTCAGGTCCTAGCAGCTTCTCCCTGAGGGGGTCTCAGCCTCTGGTCTCCAGGGGATGGGAGTTAAACGGGGAGCAGATAGAAGATTTGGTCTTTCTCCCTTGTTCACTTTTATTCCCTAGAGCCCCAATAAACCAAGTGGCTGGGTAGAAGCATGAGGCATCCTCATACCTCCACCCCCAAATCCACCCTAGCCTCAGGCCCTACTGGCAAAGAGGAATGAAGGCAGAGGAGGCTAAGGAGGAGCTGGTATAAACTGGTCCTTGGAGGGGTAGGGGTGGGCGAGGATTTAGAGACCCTTATTGAAGTAAACGTAAGGCACAAGTTCTCCATACTTGGCCTTGATGCTGTCTTGGAGCTCCGGTTCCAGATAAGAAACTGGCAATTCACTGGGGAGAGAGAAGAAGGTTACCAGTATTCCATCTAGACAGCAGCATATTACCCTTACACAAAGCCCAACTCAAATGCCACCTCTAAGAAGCCCTTCCTGATTTTTCCTTCAGAATTAGTAATAGCCTCTGTATACAATATTTTGCTTTTATTTCTACTGAGGCCTTTCTTCTCCCTGGTGCTCAACTTCCATGCTCAGTACTGGGAATACAGGAGCTGTCTAACAGATGACTCCTGAGCTAAGAGTACTAAGGAAGGAGAGACTGGCATCTCCTGGGTATAGATTTAAGCTATTGAATATATACATATTCCAGGTATATATTCATACCTAGTCTCCTGGAGCTAGTCCTTCCTCCCACCCTGTCTGATGTACCCCTTCCATGACATGCAAGGGAAGTGAAGAGGTTCAAGGCATCCACCCTCTGGCAAACATGAATCAGAGTAAGTACCTGTCCCCTGTTCAGTTTCAAAGACTAGACCAGCCAGGGGAGATTTATCTAATAACCCAACCAGTGGGACAGAGTCTCTTGTTGTTCCCCTACCTTCTCTCCAAAGCAGCCCTTGCTCCACCAGGAGGAAGCAATTCATCCCCTTAGAGACATGTTCTGGCTTACCATTCACACAGGGTTAAGAGGCCCAGAATTTAGGCTGATAGGCACTTGTCTCTGGGCAAATGCTGCCTTTCCTGCCCCTCCCTCTCTCCTTCAGGACAGCAAGCAGGGCAGGGAGAGCAGGGATAGGACATTTCTTAGAACAAAGTAAGGAATGAATAGTTGATACCATTTCTGTGGGAAGAGCCCACATGCCACTGGCACCATGAAGATGAGGCTGGAAAAAAGGAGAAACCAAAGCATTAGGAGACATTTCCCCACAGGCCCTCCCACAGGCTGCGCCTGAGCCTCCTAAAGGTTGGGGGAGATGCCCATTCACTTGGCCTGCCTTCACAGCCAGCCCCATAGTTCCTCTCTCTCCAACCCTTCTCCTGGTCTCTTGGTGCCAGGATATTTGTTCTGGCAGAGAATAAAATCAGCCCGCCTCCACCCTCACCCCTTACCACAATCCCCCCGTTACTCAAGCACAGGAAGTCACTAGGGAGTGCAAGCAGCAGCCCTAAAGACCACATGCATCTGCTGATGGGCAGGGAAAGCAGTGAGGGGTGCGAATCCAAAGGTCCTGCTCCTCTGTTCACTGACCATCTGGACTGCTAGAGAACAGTAAAGGCCGGGGTTTCTCAAACTTCAGTGTGCATACAAAAAACTCCAGTAGGTCTCCAGAAGGGTTGAGAGTCTTTATTTCTAACAAGCTTTCAGATGATGCGGGTCCAGGACCATGCCTTACAAGATTTGGGAGTCTTTTTTTTTTTTAATCCTTACCCAAGGATATTTTTTCCATTGCTTTTCAGAGAGAGTGGAAGGGAGTCAGGGAGAGAGGGAGGGGAGAGGAAAGAAACATTAATGTGAGAGAAACACATCGATTGGTTGCCTCCTGCATGTCCCAGGGCCAGGGCCGGGTCCAGGGATCGAGCCTGTAACCAAGGTACATGCCCTTGGCCGGAATCAAACCCAGGACACTTCAGTCCCCTGGCAGATGCTCTAACCACAGAGGCAAACTGGCCAGGGCAAGGATTTGGAGTCTTAACAAACCTGGGTTCATATCACAGCTTTGACACTTAAAAGTTGTACAGTCCTGACTGGCATGACTTAGTGGTTAGAGCACTGACCTGTGCACTGGAGGGTGGTGGGCTCGATTCTGGGTCAAGGGCACGTACCTGGGTTGCAAGTCCGATCTGTGTGGGAGGCAACCAATCGATGTGTCTTTCTCACATCGATGTTTCTCTCTCTCTCTCTCTCCCCCTTCCTCCCTCCCTTCCACTCTGAAATCAATAGAAAAAATATCCTCACTCTTTGAGTGAGGATAAATAAATAAAGTTGTGCAATCTGGGGCACACTGCCTCCTGGCAGCAGAGGGAGGACAAGAGTGTCTATTTTGTAGGGTTACTGTGAGGATTCAATGAGATAATCTATGTACAACATAAAGCTTATGGTAGCTGCCCACTCAGTGGTAACTCAATTAGCAGAAGTATAGCATGTCTGCTGAGAACCGATCTCAGCTCCAGCAATTATCAGCTATATACACTTGGGCAAGTGTCTTCATTGCTCCAAGCCTCAGTTTCTTCTTTTGTAAAAGATGATGATGGCAGTATATATACTTCCAGGGCTGAGGGAATTAAGTGTGAAGCATTAGCACAGTGGGCACATTCAATAAATGTTAGTTGTTGTTGCTGTCATTAGCCCTGTAGCCCTGCAAAGCATGATTAATGGCAGGACATGTCCAGTCGATGGCAGGTACCCAAGAATGCTGCCATGACACGTTTTCCTCCTGTGCGAGGCTGGGACACTCGACAGCCGCAGGCTGTCTCATCATTTTTGTCTCTTCATTTAATTTATCTATTGAGATATAACTGACAAATAACGTGGAAGTTTACGATATATAACATGCTGATTTGACACATTCATATATTGCAATATGATTGCTTTAGGGTTAGCTAACACCTCTATCACATCACATAATTATCATTTCTTTTTCATTTTTGTCTCTTCTCCAGATTTAAGGTCAGAGGGAAGACCCTGGGACAGGAGGGTACCCAAGCACTCCGCTTTCCATGCAGATGTGTGCATAGAGCCTAGCTAGCCTGGTTCCCTCCAAAAAGATGAGGTGAGAACTCTCCAGATGGATCATAGGTGTTCTGAGATCGGGCACTGTGGAAGTCATGTAAAGGCGTACATGTTCTTCAACACAGGTGACACAAGAAGACAGATCTTGGGTGCCCCAGCCACCACAGAACCCAAACCAAGAAAACAAGTTACTCACAAGCACCCACACAGCATAACCTGCAATGGCGCATGCAGGACCTTGACTTTCTGCACACAAAAAAAAAATAAAGACTCACATGGGACTTATGTACCTTAAGGTGAACCCCACACCTGCCTCACAACCAATCAGCTAGCTAGAAACCCAGAGGTATGCTGGCCCTGAAGGAGAGGAGAAGAGGCTCTCCTTGCTCTCCATAGATAAGGCCAAGCAACCAGCTACGATGTCTAAAGTGGGAAGCCAGTGGGGACTCGTATGGGCGCTACTTCAGTGAGATGAAGGCTGGTAGCTAGAGGGAAGGATGAGAGGATTGGGAGCTCCCAGGCACAGGTGAGGTTGGAGGACTCTGGGCAGGGAAGAGGCAAAAGGGAACCCCACTCACCTGCATGAAGGGCAGCTTCTCCAGCCTTTCCATGATGACCGGCAATAAGACTGAAAGAAACCAGGGAGAAGCTGGGAGGCCCTGTAAGACTCCTATGACCCCTTTCTGAAGTCAGATCAGGGACTGAGTGATTCCCGCTCCTTCCCCAGAAGTTCCAGAAAATATTTTCATTTGGGAGAAGAGTAGAAGACTGTAGGCATGGCCACTCTGATTTGTCCCCCAAGTCCCAGCAGAAGGGTGCTTCCCAAAGCACACCTGCAATAATAGAACATGTACGCCAGGCCCAAAGTGTCCTTCTCAAAACTATCTCTGAAGGCTCATGTAAACAGACTTTTTACCGTACTCTGTAATGTGCCCCTGCTGGAAGCACAATCAGGGCAGGGGATTTATTTTCTCTACCACTGTCTCCCCAGCACCCTGCACTGTGTCCAGTACATTGGAGGTACTTAAGAAATATATGTGTTGCTCTAGCTGGTTTGGCTCAATAGTTAGAGCGTCGGCCCATGGACTGAAGGGTCCTGGGTTCCATACCAGCCAACGGAATGTACCTGGGTTGCAGGCTCAATCCCACTGCATGCAGGAGGCAACCAATCCATGTGTCTCTCTCACATCGATGTTTCTCTCTCTCTCTCTCTCCCCCCCACTCTCTCTGAAAAGCAATGGGAAAAATATACTCGAGCGAGGATTAAAATATATGTGTGTGTGTGTGTGTATGTGTGTTGAATGAAAAGAACTTAAAATGTCTGATTAATTGATGTTCCAAGAACTACAGCGCAGCTCTCAGTACTCAAGCAAACCAGTATGAGAAGCATGGCTGTAGAAGCTGGAGTCCCATCTCCCACCCAAAAGCTGAGTGTGGCTGAGGCCTTCATCATGTGTTCCAGGGGCCCCCAGAAGGGAAGGCTTCCCCATCTTACTCATGCCAGGGGCTGCCATGGTGATCCGAGAAATAACCACTTGGGTGATGCCTATGGCTGCAGCTCTCTGAGGGCAGAAAACAGCAAGTTGTCAGGAATGACCTTATCCAGTATCTGAGCTGGGTCAGAGTCAGGGTCAGGGTCAGGGTCTTAGCCAAGTCTTAGCTGGTAAAGGGAAAGGGATGGACCTGCCAGGGGCTGAGGGACTTCTCTCAACCCTCACCCACCTAGCCAGACTTCTATGGCTTCAGGACTAGAAATGATGGAGAAAGGACATGAGAAATGTCCTAAAGAGAGACATGTGGGGGAAATTGAGGAGAATGAGAGTGGAATCAGGGAGATCCTATAATGGAGGCCAGGATGGTCTGACAGTTAAGGACAGGACAAGGAGGAAAGAGAGTTCCCTCCTCCCAAAGGGAGACCTCTACTTACCCGGGAATGACCAATCTCATTGTTATTCCTGTCGTTCACGCGGATGCCCTGGATGAGTTCCCTAAACACAGATAGGAGTTGCTTGCCTTGGGAAAGGGGTGCTGGAAGCCTGCCAGCAATGTGACACACCTGGGGACCAAGGCCAGGGCACTCAAGCTCTAGCACACCCCCTCCTGCAGCCTTGCCCTGTGACCTTCCTCTGCACTCCAATGAGTGGTATCTCTGAAGTGATCTAGGGCAGTGGTTAAGAGAGCTAGTCCTGAGCCTGACTGCTTAGGGTGAATCCTAAAACTGCAGGGTAAGTGTCTAATCATGAGCAACTTCCCTAATCCTTCTAAAGACTCGGTTATCCTAATCTGCAAAATGGGGACAATTGTGGCACCCACGTCATAGGACTTGGTGAGGATAAAACAGCATAACGGCTTAGCATAAAGTGCTTAGTCCAGTGCCTGACACAGAGTGACTGCGCCACAAACAGTAGCTGCTCTGATTATTATTCTCAGGCCAGTTCTTGACAGCACTCAACCCAAAACCAGTTAGGTGGCTGGGATTATTAATTTGATGGGAAGGAGCAACTGGAGGGGTGAGGGAAAGAGGAGAGGAGTAATGTGTATGCACAGTTATTCTGGTAGTGTGCTCGTTCAGCAAGGGCAAGTGTGGTAAATTTCCATTTACTAGTAGTTCCAAGCAAATGTGGCTTGTAGAAATTGATGATGATGAAGGCGATGATGACAACAGTAGCAATAACAGCTAACACTTATGTAGCATTTGTTATATTCTAGGTGCTATTTTGAGGGCTTTATGTATATTACATCATTCAATTTTATAACAGAGGAACATCTATGCTTTCTCTAGTCAAGAAATGATAAGAACTGAGCCCAGCCTTCGTGGTTCAGTGGTTGAGCATCAACCTAGGATCAAGGAGATCACAGTTCGATTCCCGGTCAGGGCACATGCCCAGGTTACGGGATCGATCCCCAGTGGGGGGCATGTGAGAGGCAGCCGATCAGTGACTCTCTTATCATTGATGTTTCTGTCTCTCTCTCTCCCTCTCCTTTCCTCTCTCTAAAATCAATAAAGACATATTTTTTTTTAAAAGAAAAATAGAGAAAGAAGAACTGAGACACAATGGGTGAATTCTCCTTTTACCTTTCCTGCTGCGAAACTTAGAGCCGGGTGCCTGGAAAACATCTATCTACTCCTCTGGCTTCTTTCAAAGCTTCATGGCTCTATTCTATCTTTGGACACCTCGCTCTGCTACATTTCATTCTGTAAGTCATCCCCAGGGCTTTGGAGGTAGGCAGAACTCACAACTTAACTACAGTTGCAGCTGAAAGGGCATACTTGAGTAAAAACCACAGTTTCACCCTATGCCTCCATCCCACACCATCCAAAAAATGACTCCCACATACTCATCACAGATTAAACCTAAATTACCCGCCACTCCTATAAGAGTGGCCATCACTGTTGGAGCAGTCAATCCTCAGGGACCCTTCAGAGGCACAGTGCAGCAGCCTCCCCCACATCCACCCCAACTCCAAGAAGCCACTCACTGACTTGGTTTCTTGCCTTGCTTTCCCTACTGACCTTGTGGCCCGTAGGGAGGGAAAGGGATCCCTGTACTCACTGTTGTCGCATCATTGGGATGTTGACACAGTTAGCAGCAGCCACAGCAGCAAAGGGCACCCAGCGGCCCACCAAGGGTGGAGCTTTCTGTTGGGGAAAGGGAACAAGGGGAGTTGTTCATGCTCGCTGCAAGATGGGAGTGGAGGAACTTAAGGACTACAAAACAAGAAATCAGACCTTGCTACTGCCACACATCCAGACATCCATCTGGGAACCCAAACTCCCTCAAAGGCCTGAGAAGAACCAATCTGGGGACAGCCATTCTGCATTTCCTACTGCTTGGGTGGGCTCGGGTTTACCACAACCCAGGACTAGGGAAATTCCTAATTCTCCCTAGGACTTTGCTGCCCCCTAGTGGCCACCATGCCCAAGGCAGCCCAGACAGTACCTTTGTCAACATGTTCATGCCCACAGCAGTGGCCACAGCAGTGGTGGTAGCTGAGAAGTAGGAAAGGGCCAACTGCCTAGTGGAGGAGAGAGAGACTTAGGAGTGGGGAGTCCTTCTGGTGGAAAGTAAGATCATGGCTTCAATGAGAAAGTCTGGAAATGAGGCTTCATGCCTGAGAAACTCGTGATCTGTCCCCAGTGTCATTTTGTGACCTCCCCCCAACTCATGACGATCCAGCCCCCGGATCCTTTCTGTACTTTATTTATTTTTGAATTCAACAAATATTTATTGAATGCCTACTATGTGCTAGGTACTTTCTTCATGTACTTTAAGAATGCCCAGCTTTTTCCTACTTCAGAACCTCTGCACATGGCTGCTCCCACCCAGGGTATCCTTCCCTGGGCTCTTCCATAGCTAAATCTCCATCCTTCAGAGCTCAGCTGAAATGTCAGCTCTGCGGGGAGGACTTCCCTGAGCTGCCTATCTACCCAGACACCTCTCTGCTGTTCTCTACCTTGACGCCTGTGTTCACCTGTGTATTTCCTTAATGGCAGCAATCACAACCTGAGTTTATTGTGCTTGTTTTTTTAGAAGTCCTTAAATTCCACAAGAAAAGGGACCACACATGTCTTACTCAAATGTATCCCCAGCACCTAGAACCATGCCTGGTATATAATATACACCCAAGAACTACGTGTAGAATCAGTGTAGAAGAAATTTGTTCGTCTTTAGAATGAACAAATTTTGAATTGGTCTAAGAAGAAGATGCTCTCCTAGTCAGCTTAAGAAAACACTTCCAACCCCTGAAAGGGAGACTTCATCACCTGCCAGTGTGAGCCCCACCCAGGGAGGTCTAATAGCCTGAGAACCCTTTAGAAGGACAGTTCCTCTAGAGACAAAAGGACAGCCACATCCTCCAGACCTATGAGGACAGCTTGGGGTTCGGGTCTCCTACCTGACTGATGTGGGGGAAGCCGCATTCCTGTTGGTGTAGTTGACTAAGGCATTGAAGGACTGGTTCACCCACTGCCAGAAGATGACCGCCGGCATCGTCCTACCAGTAAGTGAGGTCCAGAGAGGAGAGGAGAATGGAAGAAAGGACTTGGTATACACAGGTCAAACCATGTTAATGGCTTCCCATGTTCCAAACTGTTCCCATGTTCTATGCACCTGGGCTTTTGTACAGTCTTGCCCCTCTGCCTGGAACACACACACACACACACACACACACACACACACACACACACACACACACTCTGACACACTCCACTGTATACATGGCTAAATCCTGCTCTGTTGAGAAATAACTTCCTCCTTGGAACCTTTTTGACCCTTCCCATGCCCTTCCTGAGACAGTCATTCCATGCTCCCAGCTCCTACAACCCCACATTTCTTCCTTAGCCTACCACTTAGCAAGCTAGACTGTAACTGTTCACTTCTTGATCTCTTCAACAAAACTGGGATCTTTTTGAGAGGAAGGACTAAAGTCTTTATATTCCTAACAGCTGGGGCCCAAGGCCTGGCTCAATAACTGGATAAATGAATGCATGGGGTGGAGCCAGGGGAGAAGAAGGAAGAGAGGAAGGGGGAGGAGTCACACATCCAGCAGCTACAAAGTTTATTCTCTCCCCAAATGAGCTGAAAGGGTCTTCCTAATTTTTTCCTGGGATAGTACATTATAAAAATACATTAAACTCATTGTTGACTATAAGCACTTTTAAAAGAGGAAATTAGCATAGTTTATTCACTGAGAGTTCTAGAGAGGGCTGCCTCCGTTAAAATCCAGGTACCAGTACTTCCTGGCTGTATGAACTTGGACAACTTATATAACCTCTCTAGAACCTCAGTTGTTCTTCTATAAAATGGAGATGATAACAGTACTTCTCTGTAGGACTGTTGAGAAAATTAAAGGAGGTAACACAGTCAAAGAATTTAGCACAATACCTAGTATCTGGCAAGTTTCAATAAAGACAGCTATTTTATTGATTTCAGAGAGAGAGGAAGGGAGAGGGGGAAAGAGAGTTAAAATATCAATGATCAGAGAGTCGTCATTGATCAGCCACCTCCTGCATGCCCCGGCTGGCAATAGAGCCTGCAACCCGGTTATGTGCCCTGACAGGTAATCGAACTGAGATCTCCTATATCCTAGGTTGATGCTCAACTGCTGAGCCACACCCAGCCAGGCAAGACGGCTATTATTATTATTATCATAATATGGCTCCCTGATATCTATTATTATTATCATAATATGGCTCCCTGCCTAGCAGACCCAAGTGGATACACCTCCCATTGCCTTGTTCCCGGGTCCCACCTGTAGAATTGGAGCATGAAGCCTGTGATGATCATGCCGCCAGGAACCTGGAAGGACATCCGTCCAATGACATTCATCTTCTCTCCGGTATCAGGGTGGAAGGCTGCATCATACAGCTTCTTGGCATAAAGCAGCTGCTCCACTTGGGTGCCTGGGGGCACGATCCCCATCCTGTCGCCCAACGACAATAGGCAGAGTTATCGCCTTGTCCCCCCACTCCAAGTCATCCTGCTCTAATTTCTCCCTCCTTCCTGAGATCTCTGCCTATTCCCTCATCTTCAGTTTCCACACCCTCCCTAGGGAAGCCATCAATGTTGCCCCAGTTCCTCTGGCCCCTTCCCCTAACCATTTACCTGCTCTTCTCCACCATTGCCTTGGCCCAGTCCAGCTCTTGCTCTGGTACCAAAGCAGTGCGGGGGTCCGTGATATTGAAGAAGTACTTCACTCGCCCCAGGAACGTGCGCTGGTCCCAACGGGGGGCATCGATGTTAAAGCCAGATGCGTCAGCCTCCATCTTGCTCATACACAAAACTGTGGACTTAAGGAATACAGGAAAAATGAGGACTGTCCCCCAAATCAAAGTCTGCTCTGGAGGCCCTGAGCACTGTGGTAAACAGCCTGCTTTCACCAGCCACTGCTGTCATCTAACTCAGTTTGGGAAGGCCTCAGAATGAGCAACTGGGTACTAACATGTGTTTCCTGAGTTCCTACTGGTGTCCAGCCCTGTGCTTGATCATGCTGCGGGGGAGACTGAGAAAAAGGACAACACAGTGCCTGTCCTTGGGGAGCTAAGTCTGACAGGGGAACAAGAGCCCACCAGTGGAACAGTATGTAATATGTACAGCAACAATAATACAGGAGATGAGCAGAAGCAGAGATGGTGGGGCAGGGAAATACAGTAATCAAAGGGGGCTTCCCAGAAGGGGTGGAATGTGAGCAAGACCCTGAAGATAGGATAGGTTTTTCTGAATGAGGTAGAAGGCATGGGATCACATCAAAGGTAGAAACAATCACAGATAAAGGTGGACATGAACATGGCATAATCACTTTCATCATTTCAGTGACTGTGTGGGTGGTGCATGTTGGCCCTATGAGAGATTCGAGATTCCAGGCCACGGCTGTGAGTGAGGCACCATGCCTACCCTCAAGGAATTTCAGAATAGGAGGTAAACAGACAAGTAATTCAACAAGGACAGCAGAGTAAACAATGCTGTTGACAGACACTGGGAGCAGTGGAAAGCCAGAGAAGAAGCATCTAAAACTGAGAAGACCATATCTCCCAGTTTGCCTAGGATTGTTGGCCTGGGGTAATTATTAATAGCATTTCCTTTCACTCTCAAATGTCCCAGTTGGGTGACAAATTATATGGTCACCTTATCTAAAATAGACGAGGGATTATGAACACATTTTGTTAGTATGAGAAATAATGTTTTGAAATATGCGTAGAAGAGCCAGCATTGAAAGCACACTGTGTGGGGGGGCATAATAACAGCTCATACTTACTGAGCTCCTACTCTATGCTAGACACTTTGCTTAGTGCTTGAAATGCATTTTCTGAATTCATCGTCATAACCCTGTAAGACAGAACCCCATTTTATGGATGAGAAAATCAAGGCACAGATAAGTAACTTTACCAAGTCACACAAGCATTAGCGAGTAGCTGAGGCAGGATTTTAATTCAGCTTGATTTACTTCAGAACTCTTGTCCATAACTGGGTTCTGGAATTCATGACTTGAAACCCTAAGGCAGGTTTGACATGTAAAGAGCTTGGATGTTATCACTCCTGTCCTCACAATAAGAAAAAAAGCTGAACAAACTAAAAATCAACAACTTTTCTTAGCCCCGTCGGAGAATTGAGATCAGGGCAAACCACCGCCCCCAAACCTGAAGAGACAGGCAGGTACAGAGAAACACAGTTCAATTCATCAGGAGGAGAAGCCCACTGCTGGGACAAGTTTCAATGGAAAACTTAAAATGTAATCGATAAATTGCTGGAAGCTCAGTGTGGACAAGTGGGGATTCAATCTTTGGGGCGGTGGCACATTTTTGTGAGTTTTATCTCCAGGAGCCCACTAGGTTCTCAAAGTGAAGATCAGAAAAATATCCCCTAGTGCTTCTGGCAGGGAGATGTGGAAAAGCCATTTTAAAGCACAGCCAGAGACCTCTGTTCTTCTTTAGAAGGCCTGCCCACAAAGGAAACTGTTAGCAGAACCTAACTGACTTGGGAAAGGAGAAATACCCAACTCTAGCCCCTTCTAGCCTCCTATCTCACGTTGAGGGAGTGAGGGGAGACTGATAATCATTTGTGAAGGTTCAGGGCTACAGGCTTACTCACTCAAATACTGAGACCTAATCTTAGGCCTATAGAACTGCAAGTCTCAAACCTTATTGAAGAAGAAATCTCTAGAAATCCAAAGACACCAGGGAGACAAAAACAAGGACACCAGAGGAAATTTTAGCCTTTGATACCTATAGCTTCAGAAGATAGGAAACACAGCCTAACTTCTTGCCCGATAAACATAAAGCCTCATACACATCATATCTGTCTTTCAACAAAAAAAACATGACATGGCATACTAAAAGGCAAAAAGTACAGTGACAGAGCAAGCATCAAAACCAGATGACAAGAGATTTGGGGATTATTAGACTGGGAACTTCAAATAACTATAATTAGTATGCTAAAGACTCTAACAGGGAAGTGGACCACATGCAAGAACCAATGGATAATGTAAACAGAGAGATGGAAACTCTAAGAAAGAATCAAAAGGAAATGTTAGAAATAAAAAATACTGTAACAGAAATGAAGAATGCCTTTGATGTAGACTGGAAATGGCTGAGGAATGAATCAATGAGCTTGAACATATGTCAACAGAAAATTCCCAAGCTGAAAATTAAAGAGAAAAAAGAATTTTAAAAGAACAGAATAGCCAAAAACTTGGGACAATTACAAAGGGTGTGACATACATGTAATGGGAATACCAGAAGGTGGAGAGAGAGAGGAAAAGAAGAAATATTTGAAGAAGTAATGACTGAAAAATTTCCAAAATTAATGACAGACACAAAACCACAGATTCAGGAGGCTCAGAGAACACCAAGCAAGATAAATGCCAAAAAACCTACACCTAGGCATAGTATATTCAAGCTGCAGAAAATCAAGATAAAGAAGATCAAGAAGCCAGGAGGAGTGAAAAAACACCTTAGTTAGAGAAAAGATAAAAATTACATTGGAATTCTCTTTAGAAATCATGTAAGCAAGAGTAGAGTGAAATATTTATAAAATGTTGAAAGAAAAAATCCCATGAACCTAGAATTCTATATTGAGCAAAATAATCCTTTAAAAATAAAGGAGAAATAAAGACTTTCTCAGACAAACAAAATTGAAGGAATTTGTCCACAAGAGACCTGACTTGCAAGATGTTATAAGAAGTTCTTTAGAGAGAAAGAAAATTATATAGGTCATAAGTCTGACCTACATAAAGAGTGTCAGAGCCCTGGCCGGGTAGCTCAGTTGGTTAGAGCATCGTCCCCATATGCCAAAGTTGTGGGTTTCATCTCTGGTCGGGGCACATACAGAAAGCAACCAATGAATGCATAAATAAGTGGAACAACAAATCAATGTCTCTCTCTAAAAATCAATAAAATAAGAGTGTCAGAGAAGGAATAAAAGGTGAAAATAAAATCTTTATTTTTCTTATTCTAATTGTTAACAGTTAACAAACAGATAACAGTTTGTTCAAAATAATAATAGCAACAATGTATTCAGTGGTTATAGCTGTGGATAAGTGAAATGAATGACATCAATGATACAAGGGATGGGAGGAAGGAACTGGGAATACCCAGTGTAAGGTACTTGCACTACACCAGTGAAATTGTAGAGTGTTATTTGGAAGTGAACTTGGATTAGTTGTAAAAAATTTTCAAAAGAAATATGATATGCTAAGAGAAGAGAGAAATTGGAGTCATACAAAAATCGACGGCTTTGGAACTTTTGCTTAAAAACTTCAGGTAGCCATTAAAAGATTTTAAGAGTAACAAGATCAGATGTGTAGTTTATAAAGAACATCCTGGGCAATCATATAAGATAAAGACAATGTGGTAGGAACCTCATAAGAGGCAGAGAGCAGCTGGAAGGGAACCCCAATAACCCAGGCAAGAAATGGGCTCAAATGAACCCAAATGCACTGAACAGAAAGGAGGGTCCAAAAGGAAAGAACCTTTTAAAGCAGCAGAATCTGAGGATTTGCTAAGTGATCGGGTATAGGAAGAATATTGTAAGTCAGGGTTCAACCAGAGAAGCAGAAACAGTAGTAGATATATATATGTCTATCTCCTTTATATACACACACACATATACACACATATTGATAAAAATTGACTTAGTACAAGGAATTAGCTAACTGGGTTATGTAATTGTGGGAGTTGGCTAAGTAAGCCTGAGGCCAACAGAAGAGGCAGACAGGAAGGGCTGATCCTGAGGGAAAGGGAAGTAATGCAGGCCCAGCTGTGGCTGGAGTCTCTGACCTGCAGAGTGGGGAGTGGGGGGCTAGCCCTCTTTTAAAGGGATTCCATCTGATTAAGTCAGGCCACCCAGAATAATCTCCCTTTAGATTAATTCAAAGCCAACCCATTACGATCTTTAATTACATTTGCAAAATCCCTTCACCACAGTCCCTAAATAAGTGTTCCATGGAATAACTGGGAGAAGGTGTGTGGATGCTAGGAATGGTGGCTTCTCCCTCATAGCCCACTGCAAACATACCAGAGAAAGACAGGGTCCTGGGGAGTTTTGTTTAGGCTAGTCAAGTTGACACACCACAAGTATCTGGAGTGACACCTGGGGTTTCTAATTTGGGCAATAATGTTCTGAGACAGAAAATATATTTTTTTTAAAAAAAGGCTTTCAGGAAAAAAATTAGTTTGATTTTCCACATGTTGAGTTTCACGTGCCATGGAGTTCCTTAAATGCAATAGGCTGCCTGCCACCTGTCTCAGGTACTTTGCAAATACCATTCCCTGTCCAGAGTGCTATTCCTTCCCCTCTTCACTAAATAACACCTACTCATCTTTTACTTTTTAAATTAACTTATTTTTAATATGTTTTTATTAATTTTTAGAGAGAAAGGAAGGGAGAAGGATAGATAGAAACATCAATGATTGGCTGCCCCCTACTGGGGATCGAGCCCACAATCCGGGCATGTGCCCTGACCTGGAATTAAACTGTGAACTCCTGGTTCATGGGTTGACATTCAACCACTGAACATGCCGGCCAGGCATCTTTTTTGTGTGTTTTTTTAATGAATAATTTTCAGATTTAACTTATATCTTCCACAACTAGGTCATTTGTCTTTTATCTCGAAAATATTACCTTAACTGAGGATTTTCCATACTTAGAAAATTACAAGTTCATATGCACAGTTTGAGCACCACAGAGCCGATGGGAAAGCTCTGGGCTTTGCCCTCAAAGGGACAGGCTAACTTGGCCTCCTGCAGGTTCATTTAAAGACCAAAGGTATTTCACTTAGTCCCAACTGAACCAGGAGTGCGAGGGGGAAAGAGGTCACCTTCCCTGACTCCAAATGAGCCTAAAAGAAGTTGGCCTGGACAGAAAATCACACTGCCCTGGCTTACAGAGCCCCATGCTTGCACCCCCTGGAAACAGCCCAGCAGAGCAAAATGCTATGCCTACCCCTCAAAGCATACACACACACTTCTCAGACATCTCTCTCCAGCTTCAACCCAACATTAGAAAGTTCCCTGCCTTTCACAATGGAAGCTCTTCAACCATGAAGGGGTAAGCATTTGCTAAATTACGCAAGAAACTTTGCCTTTATTACTGAGGTGAGGATAGTAACTGTTCAGTCCTTGTCTCATGTAAAAACTAAGACCAAAAAAAATCTAAATTCTATGTCTGGAACATCTTCCCCACATCACTGCCCCACAGGGTTCAGTTCTGTGACTCCTTCAGGACAAACTCAGCCCTTCTGTTCCACACTCCCCTAGCATTCTGTTTTCCTTGGCAGCATATTGGGCTTTTGGAATTGTCATTTTCTTTATTTACAGTTATTCATGTGAAGTCTGAGTTCCCTAATAGACTATAAGGTTCATGCTGTATCTCCCATCTGCCCTCTAAAGACACTGCCTGCCTAAAATGCATTCCAACTTATCCTTGGGTTCTCCTGGCATCAAGGATGTCACCTCTTTTAAGTCGAACTCAGAATTTGCCTTGAATATGGAAAAGCAGGCTTTCTTTCACGAAGATAAAAATTGTCTACCGCGCTTATACTGCATCCTATCTGGTCTCTACGTTTTCTTCCAGTTACCCTCCCTCTTCCCACAGAACCACATCTAGTACTCCCTAGAAAGGTCACTATCATGTCCAGGGTGGCTCCGCTAATGAAGGAATATGGTGCCACTACTGGAAACAAGGGGGGAGATGGAGGTCAAACCGTGAATGACCAATAACTCCCTTTCCTTCTAGGGTTAGAGAATGTCACTGCTCAACGACGTTAGGGAGGGAGCCAAGATCTCAGTTTATAGAACAGGAAACTAATGCCTAGAAAGGCTCACATCGATTGAGCCAGCATGGTGAGCAATAGTGGCACACACAGCCTCGCACTAACAACAAACAGATCCAGTCCTGTATATCCATCCAACGATCTGACAATAGCTAGGGCCTTACTTTCCCAAGGTCACAAGGCTTAGGGTCATCTAGATAGGTCCTCTATCCATTATAGGTACTTGTCAAGAAAGGGGTGGGGGAGAAAAAAAGAAATAATCTACTACATCTCCAGAAGTAATGCTCATCCTGCCAAAGGGAGCTGATTTTCTCTGGCAAACAGTATCAGAGCTCAGAGAACAGACTTCCAAATCCTCTTGCAAGGGAAGGGAAGTACCCAGGATGCCCCTGTTTGTATCCCAGGTAGGGAGAAAAACAAAACATTATGGCTGGTACTCACATCAGAGGAAGATCAAAGCAACCAAAAGCTCAAGAAGGTCACAAAGACCAGAGATGGCAAGGGTTGGTGTCAAGACTGACTAGGGCAAATTGGAGAATGAGACAAATAAACAAGCAGGTCTAGGTATGTGTGATTCCAAGGCAACAACTTTGAGAAGTCTGCCTTGCCTTTTTCACAAAAGAACCAGACTAGAGATAGGTAGACTGTAGGAGTGATGATCTGAATTAACCATTTGTCTTGTACCTCCTTAATCAAGGTTCTTAACTGAGTTTTCTCTCCAAGGATCTGAAGCAAGTATGCATGTAGCAGATGTTTGAAAAAATACTTTAGTTGAATGTTTAAATAGCTAAGGACCATTCAGGGGAAGTCTGCCTTCATTTCAACGATCTTTACTAGACTAGAAAACCTTTGTTGATAGGAAGAGAGGCAAAGCCCAAAAACCTAGATGAAACTATTAATACAATCATATAATTCATATAATCCTTACCTACCCAGTGAGGTTGGTAAGAGGCACACATGCATGTGCGATCCAGATGTACCATCCCCGCCCACACTGTATCAGCTCTTAAAAAGTTCTGGGTTTACATCACAAATATAGACCACTCTGTTCTTTCCACCTGGACCATACAAAAACGTTTAAAAGCACTTCCTCAAGAGTCAGGCAGAACTGAGTTCAAGTCCCCACTCTATATTGCTCAAAATAACCAATGTCTAGGGTTGTGAGAATGAAATGAAATCTTGTACGAAAAGCACTTCACTAGGAAGGATATAATTCCCAAGAGGGTACATTTTGTGCGCTGCTGTGCCTCCAGAGTCCAGAATAGGACCTGGCTCCTAGTGAAACTCTTCATCCTGTCCTCTGCAGGGCAGGGGGTGGGAGACAGCACCTCCCAACTCACCCAGAATGCCTCTGGCTCTCACTTGCCTGGACGTGCATGCCCATTTTTTGCCTCCTTGGGGACTGCAGAAGTCGTGCCTCCCGGTCTGACGTAACTTAGTAAACCCCGGCCATCCCAAAATGCCTTTCACCCGCACTGTCAGCTCACTTCAGGGCTCAGGGCCAGTCCCTCGGCTGCTTCTTACCTCCGACAGGCAGCCTCCCACCACTCGGGCTCCTCCATCCCGGACTTTAACACCGGTGTGTGGAGAAGGGCACACAACCCTCAACTCCCCCGCCCCTCAGACTGACAGACGACGGCGCTGGGGGCCATGAGGGAGAGGTCCGGGGGCAGACTTTGGCACTCCTCTCGCCACGTGGCTGCAGCAGGTGGAAGCCCAGTCCGCGCTGCAGACTTGCGTGGGCAGAGTCAAGCCAGAAACACAACCTCCCTCCCAGGAGGTGAGGACTGGAAGTAGACGCGGTGGGCGGCTTCCTCCCCAGACCACTTACCTGGCCCCGGGAAGAACGCTAGCCAGGCCTGGATGCACCGCGAGACTCCGCCCGGGAACCTCCCCTCCGGAACCTCCCCTCGCCCCGCCTCCCCGCCTCTCCTTTCCGACCAATCACAAGCCGGGAGGCCCGCCGGCCACGTGGGCGAGTTGTCACTATTCCGGAGTCTCTACTAGCCAGCAGCCGCCGCCAGCCGCTCTAGCCTCCGGCCTGCGCAGGGGGCGGGTACCTTGGCGCGCTTGCGCACTTCGGGGAAAGCCGAGCAAGAACCCGCCGCGTTCTGTTGCTCCGCTTCGCCGTGCGTGCGAGGGACGTCGGGGGCGGTGCCACAGCAGTTGCCCCTGGTAACGGGGTGTGGAAGGAGGAGGAGGAGGAGGAGGAGGGGGACTCGGCGGGAGGATGGTGAGTGTGGGGGCCTGCGCCCCTCCAGAGCCGGTCGGTCACCTCCGGCCTCGTCCCCAGGCCCAGGGCGGGGCACTGCGCTTATAGCCAAGTTGGGAATGGGATGGTGCTCAGCTTGCTGTCTGGGTTCTAGGCTGGTTTCAGGGGGCGGCGGGGAGCCCCAGGGGTGTGGGCCCTGGAGGGAGACCTGGGCCTGAGGAGGAAGGCGGGGCTTGCCACGGGTCTGAAGCTAGGGGAAGGGGCTGGAGGGTGCGTGGATGTCCCGGTTGGGAGCCGGGGCTCCATCATTACTCTGGGGACTGGGATGAGGGCGGATCCGAGGAGCTGCGAAGAGCAGCCTCCGCACTCAGGCTTAGATCTTCCCAGGGAATCGGCCTCCTCACGCCGCAAGAAAGTGGGGTCCGCCGGGGCCGGGTCAGAAGCGGGGAGCACAGGGCCAGTGCTACTGCGTTTGAGGTCGTCCTAGCGGTACCCTGGGAGATCGTGGATTAGCGCTCCTGTTCCCGGCGTTGCGCGGGGCGTCTCAGGGGAGGAGTGTAAGTCCCGGGGCGCTGAAGAGGTGCCGCTGGGAAGATACGCCTGGCGGATCTTACGCTGCCTCGGCGTGTGTGTGTGGCGGGCGTGCTTCTGCATCCTGAGCTGTGTATTGATGGAGGCAAATCGGCTGCCCGCGCCCTGGTAGAACCTGTTGGAACCTTCTTTTGCGTATGACCGCGCCGGAGCCAAAAGGTCTTCGTCTCAGCTTGGGGCCTCCAAACTAAAAAGAATGGGAAATCAAAACGAGAGAGTGGGCGGTCCCTTTCTCCGTTACCCCGAATGAAATCTTTCCGGAACTAAATTATGATATGTGACAAATTTGGCCATTGACACTCTGTTCCTTGTTGATTTCGATGAAGTTAATTGGAGGGTGTTAAGGTGAAATTGAGTAGTTTTAGAGCAAGCAAAGAAAAATTGATTTTGAAGCATTTAGAACAGCTTGGTTGTCTTTCCAGCGGTAAAGAGTCAACACTCAAACTTAGAGTCACTTTCCTACCCCACCCCCAGTCTCTTTGACTTATAGAAATGTTAAACCACTTCTATTTATTTAGAGGTAAGAAAAAAGCTAGATGTCCACAGGGGAAAAATATGTACCTTTCGTCAGATTATCCAATGAGTAAATTTTGATAGGACAAAAATCTCAATTGACTTTACATTGTCAGATGCTAAAGAAGTAGAATTATTTGACCTGAAGTTGCCAATCACATTTCACACTTGCTACACTGCAGTTTTTTTAACCTCGGGCTAAACAGATTTTTACATTTTCTTTTTATTAATCGTTTATACATGAGCTGTCCGTTTAAAGGCTAAGTTTTTCTCAACAAATGAATATAAACATAAATATTTACACACAAAATAACTAGAATTGAAATGAAAAAGGCATGCCAAACTATTAGAGAATGAGATGTAATCATAAATGAGAAATGTATGAGAGTAGCCTAACTTTTCCCAGTTTGTTTATCAATTAAGTGGACTGTGTAATTTCATGATTGTTTAACTTATAATTACAGGCCACATTAAATTAAGCACTGCTAATGTTTCCAGGTGCAAACTGACACTGTATACAACACATTGACAGTGTATACAACACTGTTGTATACAACTGTTCTGTTCAGTGATCAAGACAGATTTTGTTTTTATTTTTTCCTAAAATGAACAATTAGAAATTAGGACATTATTTTGAATTCTTTATCCTGTTTCCAAAATGCATTTTTTTCCTATCTCCAAAAGTGCGAGTTATTCTTAGAACTGAAAGTGGAACATGGAATTTAAACGGTCAGTGGTATGATTAAGTGTGTCACCCCTTGTATCCCATAGGCCCCCATGGTAACTGTACAACTGAACAGTAAGTCCCAGGTTGTTAGTTTTGGGGTTGTGTTTTATTTTAAACCTTCAGTTATGACTAATACATACTTTTTTAAAAAAAATTGGAGAGTACTGCAACAAAAACCCATTGGGGTTTCTCTGAACATTTAGGGTCAGCCATTTTACCCCTGCCTTATGATTCTAAGTCTTTGGTGAAATACTAAGGTGGCAGTAATTTTAGGGCATAGCTAATTATTGTTATTTAATAGATGACTCCTTCATTCAGGAATTACTTATGGACTAGTTTCTACATGCATGAACCTAGTAGTATTTATCAAGCATATTCAGCATTTGAAGACGGTTCCCAAGATTGTTTTCTGGTCAGAAATGGTCAGTGAAAAGTAAACAAAAAAGACAAAAAACACAACTGTTTTGAGGGCCTACTGTGCGCCATGCTTTACACACATTACCTTGTTAATCTTCCTAACATTTTTTTTCTTTTTAAAAAAATATGTTTTTATTTATTTTAGAGAGAGAGGAAGGGAGAGGGAGAGAGAAAAACATCAATTGGTTGCCTCCCACATGCACCCCAACCAAGATCAAACCCAAAACCTGGGTATGTGACCTGACTAGGGATCGAACCAGCGACCTTTTGGTGCACAGGATGATGCTCAACCAACTGAGCCCCACCAGCCAGGGCCCTGACAGTTTTCTTGAGATTTGTTAAGTATTGTTCCCATTTTCTAGATCTAGCTGTGCCTGGAGTTAGTTAACATATAGGGAACTTGAATACAAATCTATGAAACTATAAGGCTTGTAATGTTCTTTTCATTAGGACTCTGGTGTAGTCAGAACCCACATTCTTTCTGAGGAGATGCCCATATTTTGTTCCTCAAGAAAGATGGTATTTATGTAGTCGAGAGATGAGGAGAAAGAAGACAAAGTTTGGGTGAAGTTTTCCCTATTAAGGCCATCAGAATTCCTGGAAATTAATAAGGTCTTACTGGGAAACACCAGCTTTTTTGTTAGATTAAAGAGGTAAAAATAAATTGAAGTCAGTTCTATTTAAGCTAGCTATGAGGAGTGCATGTACTTGGCAGTTGGCTTACTAATTTGAATATTTAAATTTTAGCTGCTTCTCACAGCCACATACATTTTCCATACACCAACACACTCGTCTTTCCCCCTCCGCTACACTGGTTTCTTTGAATGACCTAGTTTGTATCATTTTAGGTCAGTGCGCTATGCCTCTGCCAGTAGTTGAGTTTAAGCTGATTTTGAGGCAAGTAAAATGTAACACATCTATTCATGATTTGCCTGTAGAAAAGTGTTCAAACATTTTGTGGCTAAGTCAGAACACTTTTGTCCGCCAGGGTGCACCTAACTTGTATATGTGTGTGGTAATAACAATCTATAGTTAACTAAAGTTGTTTCTTAAATTGCCTTTATTTAATGGCATAGGAGTACAAATTCTACCTAGAGATCATGTCCATTTTGCTCACTATTGTACTCGGGTACATTATGGGTATTTAATGATGAATGAATGAATATTTTGACCAAAAATCCACACCTTAAAAATCCATTCCTTCATATTTATACTACAAAACCTAGCTCCATAAAATTAACTTCTAATGTCTGCCTTCCTTAATTTGACATTTAAAATAAAGTATGGACATATATGGATAGAAGCATAGAATAGACTTATTCTGCTCTCTTTCCTCCAGCCTCTTAAATCAGCTTACTTTGTACCTTTCAGGCAGAACCCTAATATCTATAAATATCCTCTTCCCTATTTAGCAAACCCTAGTAATCCTGTGATCCCTTGTCCTCAGTAGTTGGGTTAATATGATGCTGTACTGTATTTGTATTTGTCTTGCCTAGACCGTGTTTGAGGTGCCATTTATTATTTTGCTGGTAGAAAATATTAGCTCAACTTTCCATTCTCTGTAATTTCACTTAAAGGTAAAGCATGTGAAGTCATTGTTTCCCAATGAGGAAATTTACCCATTAGAAATGTAGAAGCCTTGTTTTTTATACCATTAGGTTAATAAAGTTTAGCTATAGTTAGAATGGTTTCTTTCTCATCTGTGCTTTGCTTCTCTCTGTTTAAGATGAATAGAAATTATATTTTTCTTTTAATTACTGAATTTCAAATAGAATGAGTATGTAAAAAGTCTCAGCCTGCAGAATGCAGTATTTTTATGTACTAATTTTTCAAAAGAAGAGACACATGAGGAAAAACCTAAAACATTCATTTTGAACCTTGAAAATAATTTATAGAAAACAGACCTTCTTTTACAATTTCTACACTAGTAAATACTGCATGAGAAGAACTGTACCTGTACTGTTGTTTAATGTAGTAATGGGATAAATTCCAGTTGTTTTAGAATTTTATTGAAAAGATAATGGGGACACCTAACCAGGAACCCAGGAGTAGTACAATGTGTTTTCCCTGTTCTTAGCTTTTTTATACCACCAGTCCCCTGAGGATCTCAGAATTCTAATTTTAACTGTTCTGAAAGGTGGTATTATAAATGAGTGATTGCAGTGTGGCTACCAGAAGCCAGGGAGACTTCTCATAAATATACTTTCAAAAAGGAATGGTGTGAAAGTATTCAAGGCCAGAAGAGATGAAAACAGAAGAAATGTCATGCCTATCTTTTTTTGTTAGTTTCAGATCTATTCAGCCTTTCTTTCCCAAATCTTTTGGTATAGAATTTGTCTTTCTGTCTTTAACCATACCTTCCATTTTATTGCGGGAAAATTTTGAGGCATAGAGAGGTTAATGTGGTCCTTAGCAAGTCAGTGCAAATCCAGTACTAGACATGGTAAACAAAGAGTCTCTGAGGAGAAAGGAATTCTCAATAATTATGCATATTTGCATATCATTGTCCAAAGAGTTGTTGAGATTTATTTCACAGAATTATTATTTGATCAGAGTGAACAGACTGGTTTGAATTATTACCTGACACAATGCATATAAAAAATATAACCATTTTACATATTCTAATACTCAGTTTGAAGGAGTTTCTGCTTGAGCTGGGAGATTAGATTAAATGCCCTTTAAAATTTGGGATTCTTTGATTCTTGTAACCATGCCTCATTGGAACAAGACTGTCAGGTACAGGACAGAACAAGTAACTATCTCATAAGATTTTTCTTATGTTCTTAGATAAAAAGCAATATGATTTACTTCCAGCCCATAAAAATAATAATAATAAAAACAAGAAACAGGAATATTAGGTTACTAGTCAAAAATATCATGTTGAATCAAAACTACCCTGTTTTATCAAATTCTTCATCTGAAAAACATAGATAATCCATACGGTGCACCTATCCTGTAAGGGTCTTGTGAAAGTTAGATGATGGTAGAGTATTTTGCATGATGAAGTCCGTTTTTTTTCTTTCAAATTTTATTTATTGTTTTTTTAGAGAAAGAGAGGAAGGGAGAGATTCTTGTATATGCCCTGACTGATTTGTTGTTCCACTTATTTATACATTCATTGGTTGATTCTTGTATGTGCCCCAACCAGGGATCAAACTAGCAACCTTCACATATCGGGAGGATGCTCTAAACAACTGAGCTACCAGGCCAGGGCTGAATGACGAAGTATTAAAGGTGAACTGAAATAGATCAAGTCTTAAACAGAGAGAGAGCCTAGATACAATTTTATACAACTTTTTTTGTATTTCTTTGTATAGCACCTTTAAATCTTGCATTAACTTGGGTGGATAATTCTATTTAATTCAACAACTATTATCTAGTATCTATCTAGTAAGTTCCAGGCATTTGGGAAACAGAAGCTACAGTCCTTACCTGCAAGAAACTTCACTCTAGCAGAGGAGAAAAATACAAAAGTCAATTACCTTTCGTCTGATATGATGAGTGCTATACTCAAAGTTTATATAAAGGGCTTTAGGAACACGAGTTGGGTAGTAGCTCAGACTCCCAGGAGGTTTGATGTGACTGCAAAGCTGGATTAATAGGAGGAGCAGGAATAAGCCCCGCTATGTATTACACTGCAGAATTTACTAACCTAATTCTACCAAAACTTAGAAGGGGAAAGCAAGTGAAATAAATGACGTTAAAATAGAAAAGAATAATAATTAAGCTCTCCACAACCAAGAACTTTTTTCAAAGAGAAGAAGATACTCTGATGTTCAGTAATATGAAAGTCAGTGCCCCCAAGTAATCTTTTTTATGGTTGTTCTAGGGCTTACTCTCAATTTTGCGTAAATTGAAAAGTGCACCAGACCAGGAGGTAAGACTCCTTCTCCTGGGCTTGGATAATGCTGGCAAGACTACCCTTCTGAAGCAGCTTGCATCTGAAGACATCAGTCACATCACACCCACACAGGTGAGCACTGCATTGGTCCCAGCTGCTTGTGGGACACATGGAAGATGATAATATGATAATAGCAGCATGAAAGACAAAATGCAAAATACCATTTTGTCCACTTCTAAGTTTTGTTACTGAGAAAAGTCTATACTGTATGAAAATAATCTTATGGTTTCAAAAATATATCAAGGGATTCCATTCACATGAGATACTTAGAGTAGTCAAATACGTAGAGGCAGAAAATAGAATAATGGTGACCAGAGGCTAAAGAGAGAGGAGGAATTGGGAATTACTGTTTAATGGGCACAGAGTCAGTGTTGCAAGATGAAGAAAGTTCTGTGGACAGATAGTGGTGATGGTTGTACAACAGTGCGAATGTACTTAATGCCATTGAACTGTACACTTAAAAATGGTTAAAATGGTATATTTTGTTTTATGTATATTTTTTAACTTCTAAATAAATAATCCAAATAAATATATGTATGTACATATGTCAAGACACAATCAATTCCCTCAGATCTAAGTGATACCTTTTATTTTTTATTTTTTAATTATTTTTTATTTTTTATTTTTAAATATATCTTTATTGATTTCAGAGAGAGGAAGGGAGAGGGAGAGAGAGAGATAGAAGCATCAATGATGAGACAGTCATTGATCGGCTGCCCCCGACTGGGGATGGAGCCCGCAACCTGGGCATGTGCCCTGACCGGGAATCAAACCCCGATCGCCTGGATCCTAGGTCGGTGCTCAGCTGCTGAGCCACACCCAGCTGGGCTAAGTGATACCTTTTTTAAAGTAGCTTTCTCTTCTCTGATTATGAAATTAATTCATGTAGAAAATACAGAGAAAGTATAAAGAGAACCAACGAGTATTCTGAGAAAAGCCACTATTAATATTTTAGTGTATGTTTTTCAGACTTGATAAATACAAATATATATCAATTTTTAAAATAAAAAAATAGCCCAGCCTGCGTGGCTCAGCAGTTGAGCTTCAACTCAGGATCCAGGAGATCGAGGTTCAATTCCCGGTCAGGGCACATGCCTGGGTTGTGGGCTCAATCCCCAGTTGGGGGCGTGCAGGAGGCAGCCAATCAGTGACTCTCATCAGTGATGTTTCTATCTCTCTCTCCCTCTCCCTTCCTCTCTCTGAAATCAATAAAGATTTTTTTTTTTAAGAACAAAATAATAAAATAATAATTACCTGTATTTTTAATCCAGCCTCATGAGCCCTCCTCTTTCCCAAGGCTAAACAAGCAGACACGAAGTATAGGCAGTGGTGGTGCTCACTGCATGGAAACTGAAAGCCAAGTCCTGGTTGGAAGAGCTCTAGTCCACTTTTTTAGGCCTCCTTTACTGTTGGAAATTCTGAGAAAGCTTGACCTTGGCCAAGCCTTTGGGTTTCCTAATTAGGGACAGCCCTTTGGTCTTAGTCGCTTTAAAGTGTTTGAGCTTTAGAGGTGTTAGCAAAACCAGGGTTATTTAGAATTTCTTGTCACCATACTGTGCTAAGAACTTCGTGTCAGGTTTGAGTATCTGTGCTAGTGTATGTAGTTCACAGCCTGTGAGTTTGACTAATTCAAAACACTTTGTAGAAAAGTCATTTCAACTGCTACCAAATGAGCAATTTTACAGCTTCTGAACAAATTTAATGTATAGCCTAAGGAGGAGCATATTATAGTAGTCTAGCCTAGAAGGGCTGAAAACACACATTAATGTATGAGGATTTCTGCCAGAAAAGGGGCTAAATTTTGTGTGTGTGTTTTCTTTAAAAACAAACTTTTATTGTGTTTTTGTTTTATATTAGAAAAAGTAATAGATGCTCATTATAGTAAACTTAGAAAGCATATATAAGTAAAATTGAGAAACTAAAAATTACCTATAATGTCCATTCATACATAACCACTGTTAACTCTCAGTGATATATGCATTCAATTTTTCTTCTATGTATATATATGATGAGTATATTTAATATAAATTTAAAAGGCTTATAGAGAATATACTGCTTTGTATAATCTTTTTCACTTAACAATGTATGTTGAACATCTTTCTTTTAAATATATTTTTATTGATTTCAGAGAGAGAAAGGGAGAGAGAGAGATAGAAACATCAATGATGAGAGAGTCATTGATCGGCTGCCTCCTGCACGCCCCCGACGGGGGATCAAGCCCACAACCCGGGCATGTGCCCTGACCAGGAGTCGAACCGTGATCTCCTGGATCCTAGTTCAATGCTCAACCACTGAGCCACGCCCGACCAGGCAAACATCTTTCTATGTTGTTATAAATATTAATGCAATACACATCCCTAAATGTTTATACCCACTCATTATTTCCTTAGAATAATTTCTTAGTAGATTTATTTGGTCTGATGACTTAATAGAATTTTAAGGTAGTTGATACATATAGTTGTATTCCAGGATTTACTCTTATTTATTCCCTGCTTCATTTTAGAAGGATTTGATGTTACAAGATTTGACATTTAATATTGTAGTTATGTATAGAATTTTTAAGCTCACAAAAATGGTTTTGTCAATGAGTCAGAATGAAGCAGCCTTTTACAATAAGCCTAAGCCACTTCCCTTTAGAGTTCTTAAACTTCTAATTTATTCAGTCATTGGCATTTTAGAGGAGCTGCAGTCAGTATCCTCCCCAGTTACTCTCTAGTGACTATTTATCCTCAGGGGAAATTGAGTGGCAGTGTTCCTGTACTGCTGCACTGTGTGTTGCTTTCTACGCCAGGCAGTATTGTAGGCAAGCTGCCAGATGAGGCAAATGTTTATGGAGGCATCCCCAGATGCACTTAACTCCAGTTATTCTGGATAAAATGTCACTTCTGTGGTAGCATGCTGTTGATTGGATTTTTCAGATCCTGATTTCACTATATCATTTTTGCAAGAAGAATTTTTTTTTATATTCTTGCTCATGAAATGCCTTCTCTCCGAACCCCGAAGTTCTTGTTAATTTGTTTCTCTGCACACTGACTCCCAGCTCACAATTCTGCCTGCCTCTGATTTGCTCACCTTCCCCAAGGTTCCACCTTGAGTAACTTTTCTGAAAATGAATACTTTATTCTCAGGTTCACTAGAGATACCTAATAAAGAACAGTTTCAAATGCCTGTCTGTCTGTCTGTTTGTTTGTTTGTTTGTTTGTTTGTTTGTTTGTTTTCATCGCCACCTTGTAATGGAGGGCTCCACTTTAGAGCCTGAACATGTTGTTCCCGCAGGCCTACCTTCCTCACTGGGCTCAGACTCCTTATTCACCAGCCTCCCCAACAGTGTGCTGAGTTCAGCTCCTTCCTTTCCCTGAGTAATCCATATGAGGAAATTTCTTTAATTTTGAACTGCTTCTAAAGAATTCAATCCTCCAGATTGTAGCTTTTACCTCTTTTTAAATGTAGCATTTGTCTGTTCTGTTGAGTTTTCAGATTCAGCTTTGGTTTTTTTGTTAGTTACATATAATGTCCTGTTAAATTTTAGCACCCTGAGGACTCATCAGAGGAGTGGTCTGTATTATCAGAGCTATTCCCATACCAAGTTGTCCTCCCCAGTTGTGTGTGTGTGTACTCATTCTAGAAAGGGCATCATGTTAGCCGTGACATGAATAACACTGACTCCCAATCTGAATAAAGTAAGCATGTATAAATACATCCCTTTCTTACCTATCATAGCAAACTGTTTTCAGTATTACCAATGTCACATCTGGCAGAGTACGTCAGAACTAGTAAATAACATAGCTGTCCAATGTAACTGTCAGAATTATGATCTCAGAGCTTAATAAAACTTGATGGTTTTGCCTTTCTGTGTTCCAGGGTTTTAACATTAAAAGTGTACAATCACAAGGTTTTAAACTGAATGTATGGGACATTGGTGGACAGAGGAAAATCAGACCATACTGGAGGAATTATTTTGAAAACACTGATATTCTGGTAAGTACCCCGTCTGATGCATTAATTCATAGTCTTTTCTGCTGGGTTAGGAACATTAACACTGTAACGCTCTTTCTTGCCAATAATTCCATTGCCATAACATTAATCACTATGGATTTAGGACTAGCAGAAGGCTCCATATTGTGAGGGACAAACATCTTTGTATAACTTACATAAGATGTTTTGCTGTCACTCAGTAACAATGTTGTACCCACACCCACCTTGGCAAATAAAGTAATTATTTATTACCATAGTAATTTGAATAGTAGAAGGGAAATCAGAAGATTGTGCCACTAACTCTGTCACCCCAAGGATATCAACAAATCAGTTGTACCCCAAACTGAGCAATCAAGATAGAGTCCTAGAAACAATGATGTATAAAGAATAGTTGAAAGACCTGAGATGCCCTTCCTGGAAAAGAAAACACTTGGAACTGTCTTCAGTTGCTTTAAGAACTATCTTAAGTCAGAGAGATTAGCCTCATTATGAATATTTCTAAAGGACTGGACAAGGAGCAGTTTGGCAAGTATTAGGTGGTAGAGTTTAACTCAGAATAAGGAAGTCTCGGAAACTTTCTGGTCTACAGGTCAGGGTAATTTTAAATCATAAGCTTTAACACCTTGAGGGTAGACTGCAAGGTAGTTAGTTGTAATCTGACCCTGGATTCCACACTTCTCATTTGCTTAGAGTACCTAGGAATTAACAAACAATCCAGCAAAAAGGAGTTTAGAGCAACCCTACGGGAGCTTTTACATTTTGCCAGTACCAGACAGTATTTTGGATTCAGTGTCAACATTCCATTATTTTCCAGTGCCGTTTGAGATTAAACAACTCTTTGGGAGCAGCTGAGTCCCCAGGGTTAGTGTCTAAGGCCTGGTGACTCTTAGCCCTGTCTTCCAGTTTGGCAGCAGCTTGGAGTGGCAGTGGTTGATGAGTTATATTAGTTTGTTTGTATTTAATAGTTTTCCATTGTTGGTTAAAAAGACCTATTACACTAGACTCCGCAGCTGTATTGAGTCTTGACACATTTAGTTGCCCGGTTTAACACTTTTCAATTATCTCTAGAGTGCCATAATAAATTCTTGCTTTAGAGCAGGTGTCGACAAACTGATCCAGCCTGCCTCCTGTTATTCTGTAGCCTGTGAGCTAAGAATGGTTTTTATATTTTTAAATGGCTGAAAAAAATCAAAAGAAGAATAAGATTTCCTCACATGAAAATGAAGGGAAATTCAGATTTCAGTGACTATTTATAAATAAAGTTCTGCTGTAACACAGCCAATGGCCGCTTGTTTGCACACAGGGTAGGCAAATGTAGGTTTACAGCTGGTAGTGCTTGAAACACAGTCTCTTCTTGTGTTATTATTCTTAATTATTGTTTTTATTTATATTACAACTGTAAATCTACATTTGCCTACCCTGTATTTTCTTTGGTTGCTTTCACACTATGACAGCAAAGTTCAGTGGTTGTGAAAGAGATTGTGTGGACCACAAAAACCGAAAATATTTGCTACCTGACCCCTTACAGAAAAAGATTTCTTTAGATCATTAAATGGTTCCCTAGGGATTTGAAAGAGTCAGGGAAACTCCTAAAAGTGCCAAAGTTATTCTCAGAGAAGATAACACTGAGAACATCTGACTTCAGCTTTATTAATTTCGGGGAAATGACTAAGAAATAAAACCTGAAGTTCGATAGAAAGGAGGCAATAGGCTGTCTTCTGTTTCTTTTAGGGCAGGAAATAACAGCCTTTTGATAAAAATACATCATTTTTTTTTCAAGGTATATTCATATTATTACTAAACTCCATTTACTTATTATCAGTTTTGTGTTTAAATGCAACATAATTTAAACAAAGTAACTCTGTCATCATTTCCATATCCAAAGTGTAGGCCATCAAGTGATATCTCAAACTGTCTCGTGTGTGTTATTTCCGTAACGGCACTCACACCTGAGTATCGATACTTCTCAGAAAAACGTAACTGAAAACAAGTTATCCAGAAACCTTCTGTATTAGTTTCAACTTCCTTTTAGACTTTTGCTCGAGCTATCAATAAAAAGCCACGCATTTTAGTGCCATCTCTTCTCGCCTCTGCCTACCCCTCTGGTGGAGAAATACTTAGGAGCAATAAAATGGCCAAAAGGTGGCAGCAAGAGGGAGGAGGACCAGCAGCAGGAGGAGAAACAAAGAGCCCTCCATTCGCTGGGCAGCCGTGGGGATCTCCCAGAGTGGGCTGAGCTTCCATCAGGCAAACAAACAAACAAACAAAAAGGCCTCTTTCTCTAGGTCTTCCTCCCACAACCAGATAACAATTGCAGAGCAGTTGCCAAGGGAGATGTGAATGGGCTTTGCTTAAAGCATCATTCTGAGTGCCACGGATAATTTTGTTTTAGAATAGATTTATGAAACTTGAGTTTTGAGGCTTTATAATGTTTTAAGATCAGTCAGAAGCACTGTACATGTTTAACTTTATCTGATACTTTCTGAGTATTTTTATGGATTATCAATGTACTTTTAATTTAAAAACATTTTTATGACTAGATTAACAACTATATTACTAAAAAAAAAAAAAAAGACAAGGCTATCATTATCTTTATCTATTGACCAGGAGAAAACAGATACTGCACAGCACTGGGGTGGGGAGCAACCAAGAGACGCGTATACCACTGCAGAAAAACAGATGGCGTATCACCAGACTGGCTGGTGCTTACGCCTTTTTCACCGGGCCCATAATAAATGGGGCGATTGTTTTCTAGACTTCTTCCTGGAATTACTGTGTAGTAATCGTCACATTTTATGAAAATTACGCTAAATGGTAGGAAGAATATATGCATCGTTTAGGAAAACCCTCCTTTTGAATCTTTTAATGGAAGCAATAAATAGCAAGTAATTATAAGTAAAAGTTAAAACTTTCTTCTCATTGAGCTTAAGCCTCTGGATTCTCTGGTATCATCTCTCTCGTCATTTAAACTCTTCCCGTTCCTTCTTACCCTCTCGTGACTGTTTTTCATTACATCAAACCTCTATCTGTGTTTTCAGCCTTGTCTCAGCCTCCTCTTTTCTACCCTCAACTCGTTACTCAGAGCCTTTGCTCCCAGGCACATTTTTTCCTGCTTTGTAATTCCTTTCTTGCCCCGTGACCTGCACACAGCCTTCAGGAAGCCCTGGAAGCCCAAAACACCCTCCCAGTGATCACCTGACTCTCCCCCCCTTACATCTTCTTGGACTATTGCCTGAGTGACGAAAATCCTAATCCACTGTAGGCTCCCGAGAAATTCTGATTAGGTCTTTTATACTGAAGTTCACGCTCCCAGTACATTCCTTCTCTCTATATCTATGTTTACCCTCCATCTGCAACTTTAAAAATGGGAGGCTCACTGGTGGACAGCACTGGACTTCTGGGTATCAGTGGTGTGCAGAGCCCATTAATACAGATATTGATGTTGAGTCAGGTGTAATATTAATGACAGAGATAATAAGGCCGCAAAAAAAATACTGAGACCAAACACATCCATCCTTTTTCCTTTATGATTCTCCATGAAAGAAACACAGGTAGAAACATAGGGCATTCTTCAGCCAAAAAGCTGAACTTGGTTCCTGGTATATTTAGCACTAGTGATTCTAAATGAGAGTACGTTAAACTAAGGAATTATAATTGTTTTCTTTCTGAAGAGAGCAAGTCTTCAGGTAGCACAGAATTTGACCTGCGTACAGAAATGCCTACGTGCATATCAGTTTATGTAATTTAAGGCATGTAAAGGTGAGAGTTGTTTTTGTTGTTTTTAAATGAATACAGCAAGTCCTCGAGCAATGTCATTTTGTTCAACATTGTTTCATTATAACATGGATGAGGAGCCCTAGGAACTTAACTCTTGTTTATGTCAGTTAGCCTAAGGTAAAATTGGTTTTGTTATGTGTAGTTTCACTTAAAGTTGCAGAACCTGTTGATGACATTAAGTGAGGACTTACTGTATGCTCTTTTAAAAGACTGTTGTCATAGTACCATTAGTTTAATAACAGTTCTAAATTCTTTAAAGGAAGTTAGAAAATTTGGTAATTTTTAAGATTAGTAACTGGGAAAACATTTAATATGTCATTTAATTTTTTAAATGGACTACAAAATTATATCTGATTTTCTTTTTAAATTTTCATTTGAAGAATTAAAAGAGAACTTTCATAGGAAATTAAAATAATATATTTGGGTTCTGTAACTATAGGTGATTTTCTTTTTTTGGGTCTTTTCTTAGTTTATTATTGTTATAGTATGTTACTTATGCAATAAATAAAATTCAGTGATGGGAGAGAAAGTTTAAGATTTGTAATTTATGATGAATCTCAAGACTTCTCTTACTCTGGCAGAGGCTGTGCCCTTGCTATTTGCCTCTAAGCTCCCAGCAGCCTGTGAAGGTAGGAATGGGATGGAGATCACTGGGTCTCCTGCGTCAGTACATGAAGTCAACTTATAGTTAACACTGCAAACGGTACTTTCAGAGTGATGACCAAAGACTAGGATTTGTAGATGTCTCAAAACAGCATCCCTTCCAGACCATTTGGGATGCAGTGAGGCAGAGTGCCCAAGAGCAACTCTGGATTTACTGGCAGGTAGGCTTGAGTTGGAATCCCAGTTTTGTCAAGTACCTGATAGAACTTGAGCAAGTTACTTAACCTCTTTGGGCTTGTGTTTATGTATAAAATGGGAAAGTAATGCAATCTACCTCACAGAGCCATAGCAAGGATTAATATGGGGAATCTAGCAAAAATGTTTAGTTAGTGCCCAGTAAATGTGGCTCTTTTCATCCTGCTTGGCTCTACTGACTTTGTATTTTGCAGCTTTGCTGGAGGTGTTTTGGGGGCATCCCCCATTTAATTAACTTGTTATTAATTTGTTAATTTTGCACCCATAGAGGAGGTCATAGTTACCAGCTCAGTGTCTGTGTGCTGTGCTAATATGGAATTGGCTGGCAGGATCGCCCGCTCCTTCCATAAAGGTGCCCTTTCCCACCTCTGCTTGTTGAAGTAACCGTCTTCTGCTTTACAGATATATGTAATCGACAGTGCAGACAGAAAAAGATTTGAAGAGACGGGTCAGGTAAATAATTCTCCTGTTGAGCTATTTCCCAAATAACTGGGTGTTCATTAATCTGTCTTGTAAATGTATGAGAGTGAGAGAGAGATTTTCTTTGTTTAACCTTTGCAGTTTAAACAAGGCAGTCATTCTGGCAAACAGGCAAAAATACCAGTTGCCTAAAAAGAAATTAGTTCAGAATCCTTTAAACAATTTTTTTGATTAAAGCCTTTCAGTTTGAATCAAATTGAATAAACAAGTTATAAGCAAATGGAACTTACCACCATGCCCAAAAGCTCTTCATGCTTCTTCCCGTTCTACATAGAAATGAACCCAGAGCAACAATTCACTTATTATTTCTATGTACATTTTCAATATCAACTTAATTGACCCAAGGGTAACTTTAACACATTCAAAGGGATGGGAAGAAATGTGCAAGCCAAGAAGACTAAAATGCTCTTGTTTCCAAGCCAAGAGATAGGTATACTTTGAACCCAAATATGGCTTCAAATGCAGAGTACATGTCAACATGATTGCACAGTGCAATTTGTGTACACAGTTTTAAATAGAGAAGCGGTGGGCATAGATCATTTTTTGAGTACACTGATAAGAAGCAAAGAGTAGAGTGGGCCTCTTTGGAGAAGCACAATTACATTTTATCGCAGAGTCCTTGGCTTGTGTCCTAAACTACCACAGGTGGCCTTCCAAAGGTAGCAGTCCCCACGTTTATGTTCCTTCTTCCTGGAAATTAGTTTGAGAACTTGTTTCCAGACTCTTAGAGATAATCCTTCTATACCTTGATCATCACTGGATCATGGCTCATGTGAACTAATGCTAAACATGAGCTTGAAGGTGAAGGGCGTCATGTAACGATCTGCCTCTTGAACCATTGATCAGTTGCCTCCTGTGCACTCCCCACTGGGGATCAAGCCCGCAACCCAGGCATGTGCCCTGACCAGGAATTGAACCATGATCTCCTGGATCATAGGTCGGTGTTCAACTGCTGAGCCACGCTTGGCTAAGTTTTAAATTTCTAATCACAACTTATGTTCTCCCTTAAACAGTGTTTCTCAAAGTATGATCTATGAATCCCTACAGCAGAACTACTATAGGAGAGCTAATTAAAAATGCAAATTCCTGTGCCCTCTCTCAAACTTCCCAAAGTCAGCATCTCTAGAGTAGGCCCAGCAATCTCCCAGGGAATTCTTCCACAGGCTCAAGCTTGTGAGCCACTGCCCTTGAAAGTTGCTAGTTGATCAGCTTAACTGTTTGTTTTTTTTCTAACTAGAAGTGAATGGTTAAATATCGTAGCTTTCATCCTTCCCTCCCCATCCGTTCTCAAAATGATCCAGGAACTAGCTGAATTACTGGAGGAAGAAAAGCTAAGTTGTGTTCCAGTGCTCATCTTTGCTAATAAGCAGGATTTGCTCACGGCAGCCCCTGCCTCTGAAATTGCAGAAGGACTGAACCTGCACACCATCCGTGACCGAGTCTGGCAGATCCAGTCTTGCTCAGCTCTCACAGGAGAGGGCATTCAGGTGAGATTACCAGAAGTCTTGGTCACTTGGCAACATGACAGCCAACCAAGGTAGTCTGTCTCATTTGTTGAGCTGATCTAGATAGGAAAGATATGAAACAAATAGCCTTTGATTGGCAGATGAACAATCCAGGATGTGAAGGGAATGGAGAGTTTAGGTCTTTTTGCTTAGCAACCAATGTGATATCATGAACTGTTCTAGGAAAGACAAACCACCCCACACAAGCAGCAAACTATCCCATTAGGTAGGAGGTCAGAACAGAAGACTTAGAGGATCCTTTCTAACTGTAGGATTCTTTGATGATTGGGTTGGGGTTTTTGTGTTGTGTCCCATATTGTGGACACTAAATACATGTACTCCCGAGGTAGCAGAGCCATCGACAATTATGCACATTAGTTATCCTATAGAAGTGTTTTGTTTTTTTCTGTTGGCTGTCTCTACTGCCTTCAGAGTTGTTTCCACTGTCTGTTTCCTGGGAGGCTTCTGCGGACAGAGGGCCTATACTGAGGAACTATATACCAGAGAGCAGGCTCCCCTTCATTTGATACTAATTTGGGGCAGAAAACAGTTGTATCCAAGACAACTGAGAGGCTATATCCTCAAAGAATGATAAACAGGTTCAGCTCTGACGCTTCCTGCCAAGCAGACGCAAACCAGGTGACACTTGGAGTCAGCGCTCTAGGACCACTTCTTTATTCCAAAGCCCTAGCATGCTCCACATGCCTCATTTTAAACATCTGGTGGACCTGCCGGGGAAGCGACACCATGCTGTGAGAGTTGGACAGTACTGCTCTGGGCTGCTGTGGGGGATTAACAACTAAAGAAATGGTGTCTTCCCTCGTTGCCATATGGCATGTGTCTCTAATGGCATGACCAGTTTGCTCTTCTCTGAACTTGGTGTGTTGAGTACGAGCCTGCAATTTGCTTCTCAATCGCTGTTCTGCAGCCTCTTTCCATTTCCTTTCTAATACTCTCCTTCCCTCTCTCCGAAGACATTTGACATTGATTTGTCTTAAAACTGCCCGACTGCTTTTATTTCAAGAAAATAGTCACGTCCTAGAATTATCTCATTTGTTCCATCTGTTTGCTGCTTGATTTTTTTCTTTTTGTTACACAAACAACCAGGGCTTGTCTCTCTGATTGGCTTTTAGATCCAAGAGCAGACCAGTCAGCACAAGACAAGCACTCCTTCCTCTACAGCCCTCAATACCCCCACCCTCCGAAGCTCTCTTGCAAGTGTGTGTGTGCAGGCTCTAAAATAGCCAGAGATGACCTCAGCCACCTCCCCCAAATGGATGCTTGAGCTCTGTGGGGCTCTCTGTGAGGTTTCGGTTTAGGGAGTCTTATTTATTTCCTTCCTTCCTTCCTAAACTCTGGTTATAAAAGTAATGTATTCTCATTGGTTTTTGGTTTTTGTTTTAATATATCTTTATTGATTTCAAAGAGAGGAAGGGAAAGAGAGAGAGAGAGAGAAACATCAATGATGAGAGTTGTCATTGATCAGCTGCCTCCAGCACACCCCCAACTGGGGGTTGAACCTACAACCTGGGCGTGTACCCTGACCGGGAATTGCACCACTGTCTCCTGGATCCTAGGTCAATCCCCTGGATCCTAGGTTGATGCTCAATCGCTGAGCCATGCCTGGCTGGGCTGTATTCTCTTTGTTAATCATATAAAAGTATATAAAATTTAAAACTGTAAAGTTCTTTGCTTCCCCCTAATCCCACTTGACAAAGGAACTATCATTAATAGCTTTATTCTTCTTAAGTCTCCTCTAGAAAATTATAATGACATATGTGATTATAGATCTCTTAAGTTTCGAATTAACTGCATTTTTCAGCTTAATTTAGGCAGGTCCAACAAGTATACTACAGCCCAGGATGTTTTCAAATAGGTAAACTCGAATCATTTTATTTAGCTTCTCACTTTTTAAAGAAAATCAAATTTTGCCTAAGGTATTTTCCTCGACTGTGCATAAGATGGCCTTCATGAGGCCTAAGGTGATTTGGGTATGGATGAAGCCTTCTTGTGTTTGTAGAAAGCACTTCAGCAAGAGAGCTCTGCCTGTCTAAATGGTTTAGAACACAAATATAGAGAGGAGAGAACATCTCGAGGTTGGGGGCTCTAAAGGCGGGACTAAAGAAAATAAACACATTTTGTGTGCCTCCTTCTAAGAAAGTGGGAAACTGCAGCTCTGTAATCTTTGTTCACTTGGCCAGAGTGTTGAAAGGAAGGAAAAGCAAAGCTGGAATTAACAGTGAGGTCCTTGTTTCTTCGGCTAGCCTTAAGCAGGGACTAGAGTTTATCTAAAATCAGTATTTTTCAGTAGAGGCATTCAAGTCAAGGGGACTTCTTCATCTGAGCCTGGAGGTTGGGAGGGAGCTCCAGTCATTGTCTTCCCAGCCCCCACCCTGCCACACCCCAGCCTGCCAGGGGAGGTTACAAGGAGAGAGCTCTTGGTTCCTAGCTGTGTAGTCACCATAGAAGTGGAGTTCCCTTTAAGTCACAGGATCTTTAGACCAAAAAAAGAAGCACTCAGCTATTAGACAGTTACAGAGTGGGGAGGGCTTTAAAAGCAATCAGTTTAAATCAAGTGAGACAACCATATATGTTTGGATTTTGTTAAAGTTCTTAGATCTGGGACCTTCAGCAACCAGATTCACAGGAAATTATAGCAAGAGAAATCTAACAAAGAACTGTGAGTGGGGGAAAAAAAAGACTTTACATGGAGGAGAAATAGTTTGAAGGTCACTTAATTAGTTTAGTAGATAGTACCATGGTGTATAGAATTGGGTAGTTAAGACTGGGATTTCAAGGTTAATGAGATTATATCATGGTTAATAGAATGATATAAATTTAGAGAATTTAACCATTATTTGAAATGAGTTATTTAATAAAAATGTTAATTAAGAAGGGAATCTGCCATCTATTGTCCTTTAATGGTAGCCTTTGGGGACTACAGAAAGGCCGTGGAGTTCTCTGTGCAAGTATTTCATTGTGAGGCTCTGACTGACCGTGCCCCTCCCTCAGGTAATGCCTGCGGCCTAAGCTCTTTCCCACTCAGCCAGTGTCTTGGTTTTTACTTTAAAAAGAGTCACTTAGTAAGAATTGTTTTCCTGCATTGCCTAGTTCACATTCAGGCCTTTAATGATTATTATTAATTAAGGTTTTAAGTATTCCTAAAAATGAAAGACTTCACTAGAAAAATATCCATAAGATCACTTTCAGGCACGGATACTGTATAATAATTACTAAAATTCCCTAAATTCTTTTTTTTTTTTTTTTAATCCTCACCAGAGGATATTTTTTCTATTGCTTTTTCAGAGAGAGTGGAAGGGAGAAAGAGAGAGAAAGAGATATCGATGTGAGGATGTGAGAGAGACACATCGATTGGTTGTCTCCCGCACGGTTCCCAGACCAGAACCAGGGATCGAGCCTGCAACCAAGGTACATGCCCTTGGCGGGAATCGAACCCGGGCCCTTCAGTCTGCAGGCCTACGCTCTAACCACGGAGCCAAACTGGCCAGGGCACATTCCTCATCCTCCCTCTCCACCCTCCCCTCCCGCTGCCCCGTGAGAGCTGGTCAATAATGGACGGAGCTATGAAAATGATCAGACATTAAATGGGTCAGATAACATCTGGCACCACCACTCTAATGACCCTGAAAGAAAAAATGTACAAAGGTTAAAAAAAAAAAAAGACCTGGATTTTCTGTTACAGTTTCAGGTGTTTAGAGACAGTGCCTCTCTTTATATTGTGCTTGTGTGTATGTGTTTAATCAGAATGTTTGAGAGACCCATCTTATGCTGATAAATAACACCCTCAAGTGAGTGAGTTGAGGGAACAGCCAAAGATCCGGTAGACAGCGAGCTACACCTTCTGGACTCATCCATCGGGCAGGTGTATCACTTCCCCTTAGCTGAGTAGCTTAAACACATGATTTAAGGTTATGGAAGTTAGTGATTCCTGGGATGGGTTTCAGATTCTTGTTCTACCTGATGTTCTGAAGACAAATATGTGCCGTCTTTACAAGGACAGGCAATCCCATATGTTGTTCAACAGCCCCTGTTCTGGGTGTGGAAATTGACTTCTAAGGGCTTCAAGGGAGTTCAGAACAGGTCTTTCCTTGCCTGATTGATGGTGACCAGGAGGCCAGCCCATCGTGTAATTAAAGCAGGCTTTCATGGGAAACTGTCAAGAGCAGAGCATAGGTAAAGGGCACTAGAAGCTGAAGGAGAACATCAATCTTGGAAACCCTGCCCTGCTGAGAGGCCCAGAGTCCAGAGGAGCAATCAGAAGAGACCCAGTTATGTCACATAGATGAAGGCAGAAAAAAGAGAAACTGAACAATGTCTGGCAGGGAAAACCTGCAGCCCCTTAGCCAGACTGCCTTACAGACATGGAGGCTGTCTCCCTCTGTGCCCTGGGGCTGGGCCAGGGTTGCTAGGGCCTCTTCTAGTGTCTAACAGCTAGCCCTGGGACTCTCTTCTTTTCCCGTGGTGTCTAGGAAATGGTGAACAAAGGATCTGGCTTAGAGCTGGAGAAAGGTAGAGAAATCAACCTCTCTTCCACTTACAGATCTGAATTTGAACCCCAGACCACAGCTGTCCTTTGCTGTTGTAGTGTCAGGTGTTTGAACACATTTTCTCTCTAAAATATCATGAGTGTGTGTGTATGTGTTTAATTAAAATTGTACTGGAATAGAATTTCCTTTCAGTATAGAGAATCAGCAGTATCAACCTGGTCTCTAGCCTTAGTCGCCACAGAGACCTGCCTACACCAGTAGCTTTGAACTAGCAGAAAGTCCTCGCGGGTATTCCTCTCCATGCCCCACTTCATGCTCACCTTTTCTTTTCACATCTCTCCCACATTCCCTGCCTTCTTTCTCTAAACAGGAGCAATGGTCCAGCTCGTAGTCTCACCTACCTAGAAAGGACCACTAGCAGCCGGAGCCATGGTGTGTGAGCTCTGCATCAGAGTGTGCCTTGCAGGTGAACACTACACACTCGCTAGCCCAGCTTCTTGTTTTGTTCCTTTTTCCTTGGTCTAGGGGACTTTTCCCTTAATATACCAACAGAATTTCGGTATTTTTAAATATGACATTTACCACTTCTTTCTAGGCCTGGCATCAGTTATTTTTGACTCCAAGTGTACATGGAATTGCTTATCTGCAAGTCAGGCCTCAGGTTTATTTTTGAATTTTCAAACCTCTCTATAGACTAAGAAACAAGCTCGGGACATGCGATTTTGCTACCTTGCTGGTGCAGTGCCCTTTGTCACTAGAAAAAATATTAATAGCAAGCAATATTTTATGTATGCTGCATCCAGCTGCTCCTTGACCCTGGGGGCCAGGTGCCACAATGGGATAGGCTGCATTGCTCAGCGAGGGCTGGAGCTCCTCGTCTTAAAGCAATTACTGATATGACGTGTAGTCCTCCTGGTGTTGAAAACCAGGCCCACCCAACCATGGCTGTCACTGCTTCCTTCCAACCATCAAGCAGTGATGGACGCATTGTACAGTGATCAAATGAAAAGGAGCAGTGCAGTCAGAGTCCACTCTCCATAGAAAGGGGCATCATGCCTTTAATCCTGGACCGCTGAGAGGATTTCCACCCCTATGGTTAGGGGCAGCCTTATATTTTTCCCAGTGGTCCTGTTAGGGGGTAATATCATGACATGGCAAAATTTATTTCCTCTTCACAAGGCCAAAGCTCAGTATTTGAGGTTCAGTGTCTCTCTTTAGTCTCTATTATTGAATTAAAGCTAATCAATTTAAATTCAGTTTCAGCAAGGTTGGCCGGGGGAGGTGTGGAGGAAGAAAGGGGAGGACTACTCATGCCATAATATTGTCATCCCCATGACGAAGATCAGATGTGCAGAAATTTGGTCAAACCAGTTTTTAACAATAAAGGTTCAACCATTAAACAAACTTATGAGTTCATTTCCTTCTTTGGAGGCAGAGCAGTAACCTACTTCAAGTAAATGATCACTTTTTCTCAGTCGTCTGTTTTAAAAAAACAAAGCCTTGCCAAACTAAGGCAAGAGTGATGTGGAGCACTAATTTAAACCCAAGAAGCAGAAGGTTCCGCCTCTTGCTATGATGTTGTCTCTAAATGTAGAGTTCCCACTGGAGGTAGTGGTCTTGGTGGAGCATTAATATGCTAGGATGTGCAGCAAAGTAAATATGCAGCTTCCACACTTAGAGATACCTGGCAGCCCAGGAATCTTGAGAGTTGAGTGGCCAAAAACAGCCTTTGGCACCTTCAGAGCTGCAGCCAAGATATGCAGGAACTTGGCCTGGGGCCACCCCAGTCTCATGCCCCTATAGTCAGTTGGGAGTCCTAAGGAAGAAATAACTGGAATTGTTCTTTCCCAACTTCAGGGTGTTTCCCAGCTTCACTCTAAGCTTGAGGCAGAGCTCCTACCTCCAGCACTTGTCCACATTCACTGAGAAATGGTAAATGGTTGAAGAATATGGGTGCTGGAGCTAGACTGCCTGGGTTCACAGCCTGCCTGTGCCACACACTAGTCTGTGCTCCCGTTTCTTCCTTCGTAATGTGGAAATTAACGTACCTACTTCACAGGGTTGTTCAAGGATTAATTAAAAAGATATAAATTAAGTATCTACTGTAGGCCAGACACCATGCTAGGTTCTATAAACACAACCTCAAGCCAATCTGACATGGACCCTCCCTTCAGGGATATGGGACAACACTATTATCTTTCCTTTTCTGTGGGCAGCTTGGCACAGCTTGTCCCTGATTTGATTGGAGAGGTATTATCCCCATTACTATTGGCTCCCCGACAGCCCCTCACCTCCAGCTCGTGTTCTCCTCTAGGTAATAGCAGGAAGGGTACAACTCCCCCACCCTCCGACCCTTCAGATCAGGGCAGAGCTGCCACAGGGCTTGGCCCCTGTTCAGTCTCCCTGTGATTCCCACACACCAGGTTGCTGGAGGCAGCTGCCCAGGCTCAGGGGCCAGCAGGACAGCTGGTGGGTACTGACCTCTGAGCGCCCTCTGTTGGCAGGGCCGCGGCTGGGAGGGCTTTGCGGCTACTGGCCCTCAGACATCTGGAGGACTTGGCGCCTCAGCAGGGCTCCCCCATTTAAATCCCCTCTGCCTCCATAACAGATAACAAGGAGAAAGCTGCCCCCACCCTCCACATTCTGCTTCGGGGTTCCTGCAGCTGAGTAAATATTTTTTCTATCTCTTTGACTGTATTCATGGTTAGTTACATATAATAAAAAGAACCAAACCCCCTGTAATCAGTCATAAAACAAGGGGGGAAACCGTATTCATATAGTGCGGGAATACTGTTGATTTCTCTGAGAAGATGAGTTGGTGAAATATTGCGAGTCTCTAGAGGAGAAAATAGCGAGGCACCTTTGACAGTATTTGTGCGGGTTCCTGAAGAGGGAAAGTGCCACCTAAGTGCTGAGCTGCTCGGCTTTGAAGGCAAAAAGAGGATGCTTATCTTACTCATCCCTCTTTTATTTGTAAAAATCTTTTCTGTCTCCTGGCAGGTGATCATTTTTTTTCCTGGAAACCAATTAGCTACTAAAATTAAACATGCTTCTCTTTAAATTAATCCTTTTCATAAAATGGTCTTAAAATTGGCCTCAGCTTTTCAAATCAGTAGCTGACCCAGTTGTAATTGGAGATGTATTTGGAGGCCACCTCTCTCCCACCTCGGCGTTCCACCTCCCTTGTCCCCACTGCTGCCAGGTGCTGTCCACCTCCGGGCCACGACCAGCCTCATCTTGGCAAATGCCTTAAGGTCTGCTCCAGACCAGCCATCAGATTACCTGATTCTCCTGGCCAAGTGTTCCGATGGCAACTGGCAGAGTTTTAATCGCTGTAAATTCAGGTTATGGTCAGATTAACCAGGAGATAGGGTGCCTGCTGGTTGTTTTGCAAGTGATGTATTGTTTATGGGATTAATGCTCCGAACGGCCAAAGGTGTCAGCTGATATTTATTACTGTAAGCTGGCTCAGCTGTTCAGGTTCAACCACTAGCTCCGTGGTCCCAGAAAATGCAGGGCTCTTCATGTCATGTATGCCCCGAGATGGGCAAATGTGACGGGGACCTCAACAAGCATGTTACAGATGCAGGGGAAAGGGATTTGTGCAGGATCCTTCTTTGATTTTTTTTCTGAGCTTCCAAAGGAACTCTGCACACCTCTGAAGGTCAGAAAAACTCTAGGGAAAGGGAGAGTTTTCAGGGGTGGCTCCAAAGGGGGGTTGAAAAGGAGGTCATCTCTAGCAGGCCTGGCATCCAGGAGAAATCATGCCACCTGCCAGGTGGCTGTAGGTATTGTGTGGTTTTTTACCTCTGTCCCTCTCCAGCCTTCTAAGAAAGGACACTTTCAAGGTCACTGTGCCTTTAAGGGAACCTTCTCCCCGGTCCCTCTGCTTGGTAGTGCTTAAAGCTACAAGAATCAGGCCAGGCCCTTCTAAACCTCTCTGTAGTGCGGCAGGAAGAGAAATAAATGCACATTGCCTTAGTGTGTGTCTAGTAACACACACTGCAGTTGGTTTGTTTTTCCAAAAAGAAATTTAATTTAACCCAAGTGTACACTGCCACACTGTAAACACACCGGGGCACCAGGAGGGTGGCTTATTGAATTTAATGCCCTAGCAAAGGTCAGCTTTTAGAAAAAGCCAAAAATGGCTGGAATCTTTCCTGATAGCTCCTCAATCAGGCCTTGGATCCAGGCAGATGTGTTTATTTTTTCAGAGGGAGTTCCTGAGGACCCATCTCAAGTTCAGACACTGGGCACTCCCCNTCAGGCCTTGGATCCAGGCAGATGTGTTTATTTTTTCAGAGGGAGTTCCTGAGGACCCATCTCAAGTTCAGACACTCCCATCTCCCTCCTGTGCTCTCAGAAGCCTCCCTCCTCCTCCCCAGGAGGTCACTATCCCTGGTCACCCAGGTGGGCCCCTAGGGCAAGGAAACTCCCTGGAGCTAGAGGTTGGGGAGGGTGGACTCCCGACCCCCACCCCCCACTCTTCTGGGCTTGAGTGTATAGTGCCTTTCTTATAACTAACACTGCCTTTCTCTGCCCATTTCCCTCAAAGGACGGCATGAACTGGGTCTGCAAAAATGTCATTGCAAAGAAGAAATAAAATCTAGACGAATGGAGATGCAGGAACTTCGGGAGCTGAATTCTGTCCTGAAAAACACTAATTTGCTGCTTTCTGACCAAATGTTTTTCCATCTGTGTACAGCTACAGCTGTTTGAAGAGAGGGAACAACACAGTTTAAAAAGAATCCCCATTCCAGCAGTAGATTTAACTGATCTCTGAGGTTCAGTATCATTTTTCAAATAAAGGAATTATATTATTTCCTCTGCATAATTGAAATAGTATTAAATGTCTCAAAGCACATGATTAGAAAATGAGATCTTTTAAATGAGCAAGAGATTGCATTGCAGTTCAGACAATTCCAGTGGGCTTTTTTTCCTTTCAAGAAAGAAAGAAGAGGGAGAGAGGAAGAAGCAGCTTATGCTGCATTCATTTATTTACTGACCTGTCCCCTACGCTCTCCCCTTGGTTTTGAAAGCACAGACAGTGTTTGCTGGTGTGGTCAGTGATTTTTACCATCACCAACTGAGCCAGGGCTGCATTCCGTTGGGAGGGAAGCTGCGGGGGGGAGGGAGGGCAGATGATTAAACCATCTTGTCATGCAGGTAGGAGACTGTGTATGTAATCCTCACCCTTTGGAGAGGAAAAAAAATCCTGTCTTGCAAACAAGTCACCACATAAACAGCCCATCCCCAACCCCCCAGCCGGCCACACAGGGAAGCAAATTCTTAGGACTTTTGGCTGTAATGACATCTGGAATGTAAGGAGAGGTGGGAGGTTTAATTCCAGAAAAATTACAAGGTCCTTAGCCCTCACATCGAGGGCTCAGGCTAGCATAAACAGGCTCTCTCCAGTTCAGTGGAGCAGGGAGCAGCCGACTCAGATTAGCTGGCTTCTCCACAGCGGTCCTATAGAAGGGATTTCTAAAGCTCAAAGAATTCTGTGTTTAAATGATCACAATAGGCCATTGCTATCAGATTTTAAAAATAAATGCAGCTTTACCATGAACCTGCTCCACTGAGAAAAGGCAGGCAGATCGATTTTTAGAGGAGATCAATTTTTACAGTGCTAGCAACTTGGTGGTGTGGGACGCTCATGGGCGGAGAGGGTTTGCTGCTGGGCCACTCCCAGGGAAGCCAGAGTGACTGCAGCTGCCCATCTCCCCTGCCTCTCTCCAGCAAAATGTGTCCTCTGTTGATTGATTGGAGAGGACTGGAAGGAGACTTCTCCTGCCCCGTGTTGCAAAAAGAGCTTGTTTTCCTGAGTCTTAAGAAACCCCAAGCTTCAAACATGAAAGCCGGCCAGAGCATCTCCCAGCTCCTGAATTGAACTCTGTTCTGGTGCCTGAGCTGAGGGGTTTTCAGAGAATGAATGAGAGACTGTCCAGTGGCTGGCTGGTGGGCCTCAGGAGGCCAGCTGCCTTCTCATCCCAGGAGGTGGCCCTTCCCAAACCCACCGAGGCATGTGAGCCAAACAGAGGAGCCACTCCAGCCCCTGGCCCTCTGTGCCCAGCTTTTCTGGACAAAGTTGTGCAGGTGAGGCTGAAGCATGTCCAGCCTTAAAGGCGTTCTGGGGTGAAAGCCGTGAGTGCAGACATGAAAAGGCGCCCCAGGGTTCCTGTGGACAGGCCTGTACTGACTTGTAAAACAAAAGAAGGCGAGTTTTTTTTCAACCACGGAGCTACCTGCTTCCTGCTACCTCCTTCTCTGGCTTCTCTGGCTCACCCAAGGGCCTCTCTCACTTTGAACAGAGGCAACAGAATCACAAGGAACCAAAATCCCCCTGTGGTCAGGCTGGAAATGTGGCTCTAGCACTTGAAAATGGGTTTTTCCTCCAAACAGTGCACCAGGGATTCGAGCTGAGGGGCAAATGCCTGCTTTGAGGTCATAACTCTGCAACAATGTGCTGTGGAACTTTGATTCTGAGAGTGGATGGTCTGTAAAATACTTCTGTTCTTTTACCACCAACTTAAGGAACTGTTTGCAAGAGTCCTCCCCAGGCTGGGCCAGCAGGCAGAAGCCACTCCCCTCCTCTGATAAGAGCCTCCGTGAATGTTCAGATTTGCTTTTCAGCTAAAGACACAGTGACATAGTGGGTGTCACAAGCTTTCATCTTCCCTTTGAGCCCTGCTGAACTCTCCCGGGGGCTCACGGGGTAGATGAGAGAAGCCTGAAAAATGCAGACTTTGAAAGCTCCCATTTGTAAAAACAAAATACTTCTAAAGTCCTCTTTCCTCTCCCCA